CATGACTGAATTCCACTATTGTTTCCATTTGTACCATCTGTTCTCTATACTCCAAACTTTTCATAAATTGCTTCTGTCAAATAGCCATTTCAGGATAATATAACTCAGAGGTGCAACCAATCACCTTCATTATTTTCTTCATTCCTCAGCTGAAGTCCATTGCTGCTATGCTAGCTTTTATCTTCAAAGTATATTTTCATTTGGGGGCTATTTGGCCTTTATTTGGCCAGGTCTTCTCTTTTACTAAGGCTTGACTTTTAACTCTCCTTGCTAGGAATGAAAGGCAAGATCTTGTCTTGGTTCTCAACTGCAAGACAGCTGTTTCTTTCATAAGACTGTATAAATGAATTTTGGAAGTTATGGACTGTTTTCAAATCACAGACCCTTTAGAAACAAACTGCATCTGAACTGTCAGGTATCAAACAGTATTCCTTCCTTGCAAAATAAAAAGCTCAGAACTCCTAAGTTCTGTACCCTGCCTTTTGGCCATCAATGTTAGGAATGGGCTGTCTTCATTCTGGACGAATAAAGCTTAACATTTTCATAAAAATACGTTTTAACCTCAGCTCTCAAAACATTTCACAAACAGCATTTATGTCTTAACATGATGAAAGATACATAATAATGTTAAAGTTTTTAGGCATGCCTGCAGAGAGTGATTTAAGGGCTTATCCAAAGTAACAACGTGTGTCAAAACTAGAAACAGAATCCCAAAGATCTGGATCAGCATAGACTAAACTCTCTCCTGAAGGCTGTACCACTTAATAGGGCCCTACGTTATAAAACTGATTAATGATGGAAAAAAGTCTTTCGTTGTTCATTAAAGGGTTCTATAAACTTTCCATGAAGTGTCTAGTATTGTCCATTAACAAAACCTGCACTCTGGACTGAGTTTATCATGAACTGATAAGAATATTGAGGAATTTAAAGAAACGTTACTCATGCAAAAATCGTACCCAACGACAGTCAAGAGCCGCTTTTCATCTAAATACAATATTTTTATTTTATTTTATTTTTTTACTTTCAGAAATATTTCACAACAAAATTTTCCAGCATTTGTTTTTACCAGGGCATGAAGTTGTGGTAACAAGCTTATATACAAACCAGTCACATGCTAGAGAAATTAGTGGATATTTTTGCTATCCTTGACCTGGAAAAAAACATTGAACAGATCTTCCACAAACTTTGCAGTGAGGGTATACGTGTGACTAGAGGGGAAGACTGGAAACTCTAAACTGAAAAGGCTTTTAGAGACCGACAACAGTGTATTGGAGTGGAAACCGCTACACACGGGGATCTATAGTAATCACTGCTACCTCCTGTGTGATAGACAGAAAGCTGGGTGAGATGGCTTTGCATATCTAAAAGTATATATAACATAAAGACTAACGAGCAGTGACTGATTTCTCAGAAGTGCTATATTCCTCTATTCGAGTGTACAGGAGCAACACTTTGGTATCATGTATTAGTTTTCATTTCCCTATTGCATGAGGCATATTTCTCTTTATCTCTAAGGTTATCAGAAAAAAACAAGACTGTTTGTTTAATTTATCTCTGTTCAGCAAGTTCCTTAACTTAGGTAGCGCTGATGTTATCAAATATCATTAGACTTAATGATAATTACCATATTAATCCACTGCATGAATTAAGGGGATTATTTAATGAAGTCAGTGATTTACTAACCTTAATAGCCTAAATTAAGACACAAGCTTAGGTACATGTGCATGAAGTGACTTATATGTTGTACACATACACTAGTTTAGTGCTAATAAGGGAGATCACCATGGAGGATTATATAGTCATCCGTCATCAGTCATGGATCACAGAAATTTGAAACAGACAGTGGCTTAGGTAATACAGAAAAAAAAGATTGCAATAAAAACAATTAGATAAATTCAGACGTAGAAAAATCAGATTACAACAACTTTTAAGAAGGGTCACACTTTGCTCTGTTATCAGAAAATGTGATTCTGCCACTTCGCCTTCCCCTTTTTCTGTTAGGAACCTATGTTCTAGGTTTGACAGTTACTACTTATTTCCTATTCTTTCAGTTTGATGTGTTCAGACTATGACAATTCGTGTAAAGATGAAATTTAGTCTTTTGATAAGAGTATCTGTTTGGCGGCTTATTTTGTTATGTAATAATGATAGTATAATTACTTAGAAAGTCTTGGTGCTACAGCTGATATGCACATTTACAGTATATTCCAGATAACTGCTGACATTCAAGAGTATCTCTTTAAAATGGAGTAGTGTATTATACTCCAAATTTCTGGTAATAATGAGATATTTTAGATGCCGCTCTTAAGCAATGTAACTTCTCCCAGATTTTGTCTCCATCTTTTAAAATTTTAATGCTTTCTGCTCAGACCATCTTTAGGTCAAGGACCTTCAAGCATTTTTCAAACAAATAAGTAAATCTCAGAACAGTACTGTGGAATAGATGACGTAAACAAATAGAAAAAAGGGAAAAACATGACTAGTGAAGTACTATTTGGAAGGAGAGAAAAGTAGGAAAGAGAATAGATTACATAAAAGTGCTGACAACTAACGGACATCTCTGTATGGTAAGATTGAACTGCTACAGGTGCTACTTCAGTAGTATTGTTACAATACAGCTGAAGAATCTGTAGCCAGCTCCAGGGTTATTGGAATCCTTGTATTTGCAACACAGTATTGTATATTTGGTATATTCACAGTTTATCTAATGAATACTATTTGCTTAATCATAGCAGCTTCGAATTTAGACAATTTTTGTTTCTTGATTGCTCAAGACGCTGAGAGTAGATCTATGTGTCGTATACCCCAGCTGATAACACAGTCTACAAATCAGTTTTCATTTTCAGTGATGCCACTGTCATTTGCAGATAACAGAGACTGCATAGGACAATTCAGGTGGAGATGAAATCAAGAGATCTAGTAATGTAATCACTGTATTATACAGTCTTTCAGAAGAGATGTATGTGCAGCTGACACTAGTGCAAGTGTTTGTGTCAGCAGCAGCTCAGACACGTGAAAAGATTCATACCACTCAGAAATTTTTGGGCTAAGAAAACTTATTTGATAGCTGAAGTAAAAAAGATTCATTTGTATTTCAAGATCTTGAGTTTTGACCTCAAAGAGGAACCAAGCATCAGGTTAATGCCTCCCTGTCTCCCCCCTCAAAGTCTGGGAGGGAATACCTGTGTTAATAATTACTGATTCTACACCACTGCAGTTCCCAAGAAATGTATGTTTGACACACAAAACATACTGGTCACACCAAAGTAAAAAATTCCTAAATAGTTATAGCACAGTGGTTACAGCAAGAGCTCAACTGCAAATAGGATTCCTGGATTCTATGATCAGGTCTTTTTAGTGGTTTAGATTGTATAATGTGCCTTTACTATGCCTTATTTTTTGCTGTTTATTAAAAGCAATACTGACAGTTCTGTCGTAGCTGATAGATGGTGTGGAGTATTTACATTCTCAACTCAATTATTTCATAGACACAAAATTATTAACATACACCCAGCCTAGATCAGTCTAACCTATCGATTTCTTAAACATCTTTTACTTTGGATGTGGCTAAACACGCGTAAAAATACTAATCTTACCTTATTTCTTCCAGAATGCCACAAAGACAGCTAAATGCAAATTCCTCAAATTTGGTCTCACTGCTTCTCACATAGTATTCTGCTGCAGCATGATTCTGTGTATGTGTCATGATCAATGTCCATTAGCTCCTTTAAGAAAATGCTACTGGCTATCACTGAAAATATTAAGCGGCATTCAGAGTAAGAGTGGTTTGGCTGAGTCTCACAGTAGAACTACAGGATAAATTATCAACGGGGGTTTAAGACACCTAGATCTATTTTAAACATTTCAAGTAGCCGGGAAACACAGAAGTCATCATATCATGCCATTAGTATGTTACTTCTCAGTATTTTAGTCCGAGCAGATTGGATCAAATATATTGTGATGGAGGGGAAAGTCATTATTATAGGTAAAATGGTTAGCAGAGATAAATGATTACATTGTAGGGAGCTTCTTCTGTCACTAAAACCCTCTATTGCTGTTGCTGTATTTTAAAGTAAGTTCTCTTGCAAAAGAGGCATTATTAATCAGTGCTGTAAAACAATCTTAGCAAGCTTGGGAGGCCCCCACATGTGTATCATTTGAGATGGGTACCACCTGATTAGAAAAGGTCAGGAGAAGGGTTTTCTATTTCTTCATAATATCCCTATTAACATGCTGCTGTGATCAGCCATCCCTCAGTAATGCCATTTCTCTAAATTCCAGTTTGTAGATACTCATCTTTCACTAAACCAAAATATAAACCCAGGTGTTCGGTTTTTATAATTCTGGAATTATTTTGACTGTAAAAAACATTGACAAGAGAGTATCCATTGGTATCTCAGGGTATGATGCCAATGCTGTGCAATGCAAGAACGTTGGTAATGCCTAAGTGGATTCCAAATGAGCTCTTACATCTGCATAGCCCAGCGTAGCCTTACAGAGATACTGATTCAGAGCTCTGTTAGTGTGGATCTGTTCCTAAGGTATTTTTTCTTCAGCAGAGCCAGTTAGCTTTAGGAGACCTTGATGCTTGAAGTGATTATATCATTTGCCATTCCAGATGCAGCTAGTTCAAAGCCAGCATGGATGACATTCCACAGTACTGCATTGTGCAAAGTTGATATATCTTAAAACAGAAAGTCCTATTCGATACAATTTGGTGCCATATTTCAAATAGAGCATCTGAGACGTAGTCGGAGATCTTGTAATTTGACTTTGTCATATGGCATATGTATAGAGTAAAAGACGTGAATACAACTTGACACTTCCTGATTTTTGCACGCCCAACTTGGCAAATTCAGTATTTACCGGCTGTATTTTTATGAAATATATATTTTTGTACTCATCAGTATTATACTATTTAGAATTCTGATTACTGAAATGCATTTTACTTGGGAAACTTCAGTTTAAGTAATTCAATAAGTCTTTTTATCTTTTGATAGCTGGGAAATGGAAGTTGTCAGTCCGCACCGGTGATATGCCAACTGCAGGAACAAGCTCACAGGTTTATGTTACGTTGTATGGGGACCGCAGCAGTTCAGGACCTATTTTTCTTGATGGAGAGGAAGGGAAATTATTTCAGAGAGGCAATGAAGACATCTTCACAGTAAGTAATATATATTCATTTTATTGCCTGCTTGTATTGTGCCAGGTTACATCAAATTTCAAAAGCTCTATGATGAAAAGACAATCAGTTTTTGTGTGGTGTAAGTATTTGCAAACAAGAACCAGGACTTAAATATGGAGCTAAATTTGGTATCCTTTCCCCTTTACTCCCACCCAGACGCCAGTTTGATCCAGCGTATTTCTTATTCATTTAAGAAGAGCTGTTAGTCAGTTTGCAGAGTGCCCAAGAAATGACCAAGAAGTAGAAAAAAACAGATACTTGCTCATTTTTTAAATTTGAAATGGAGCAACAATATTAGAAATGAGATGGGGAAATGAAGAATTAGGGTATGGAGTAAATTCTGAACTCTCTTAATTCCCTTCTGCCATTTTTAAATTAATGGGTATTTTTATACCTGTAATAAATTTAGTGTAAGCCTGTCTGAAGCTGCTGCTTCTACAAATTACAAAAGCAAGTTTCTCTCCCATCATTCTTGTGCCATAATGATTGAAGAGAGCCAAAATAAGTCTCTTAGCAAGAGCTGCATAGCTTGAGTGTGTATGTTAAATCGTCAATGTGTATCTCGAGCAGACGCGTGCTATAGGGCAACGTAGTAGGTGTTTCTGTCTATTAGTATCCAGGATAGCAAGTCCTCTTCCGAGAGAGGGTACTTGATGCTGCCACTGTTGAAGCACTCACCTTTTTCATAGTAGTCTCACAGCTATCTGGGATGTAGGAAATTTTATTCTTAGCTCTCTTCAGCCTGATGGAGGATATCTCTGACACACACCTCTGACAGTGTGCCATTCTCCATCTGAAATGTCAAAAAACAGGTATAGGATTCAAAGGAGCAGATAGAATAGGTAACCATGTTCCTGACTGATTAAAAACACCCTCTTGACGAGACTTGTTGTTGCTTTTGTTTCCTGCTTCGATGGTAGTTATTCATTTAACCTCCAATGATTCTGAAATGCAAAATATGGAAACTATCCCTGATTTGGAACCTAGGATTTGCCTCTTAGGTGAATATTCACAGCGCTGATGACAGTTAGGAATGCCTGCTCTGAAATGCATAGAAAGAAGCAAGCTGCTCTGCTTATACTCTATGCTAAATCTAAATTAATTCCGGTCTGTCCTAACTGTTCTGTCTTTCTTGTTTATAACAGTAAGTTCAGGGAAGTTCACAGTACAGGGAGTTTGGTTCATACCCATCTTTACAAAGTAAATGAAAACAGAGAATGAATTCTGTTGAGATAGAATAAAGGACAGCAATTCCAGGCTACATCAGAGGTAGAAAATGATACAGCAAGGAGGCGAGACACTCATGGTGTGTTTCCAGTGCCTTGAAGATAAGGTTTCTATTTCTACGCTTAAGTTCATAACTACTGGTTTGAATAACCTTCATACAAAGCTGTTCCCTCAGCACACTGTTATCTGTACTGGACACACTTGTCCAGCCTGCCCAAGAGCTAATCTTTCAAACACAGCTTTTGAGGTTTATTATTGAAATGGTTTATAAAAAGAAACAACAAAGTTGAACACAATTGTTTCCAAAATTGTAAGGCATACCCTCCTGGAGGGTGAGGAAAAAAGTACTCAGAGGTACTTGGATGGTGCTTAGGAAACAGAGATCGGCATCAGGTCAGTGGTGCAGATGCTGAACTGAGTCAAGTTCTGATGCCAGTCCAATGTTTTTTAGTTATTCCTACAGTCTGTATTCATCTCCCAGGGAGACCAGTATTCAGTGAGGGACAAAATAGCTCCAGCAGCCTCTCAGGTCATTTAAAGGGTGTTGGCAGGCCAACAGGTTTGCCAGAGGGTGGTCCTTTAAAAAAGCCAAGCTTCTAATGATCATCTGGAACAAAATACATTGGAAACGCTGGTTTAAATGTCAGAATATTTAACATGGAATATTCCTCTAAACAGAAATGTCACCTGACAGTTACCAATTGAATTTCTGTTGCATATCTTTTTCTTGTAAGGAATGTTCTATATTTCATTAATTGTGTTCCTTTCACAGATTAATACTGGAAACATAGGAGATCTCTACAAAATACGCATAGGACACACAAATGCAGGGAACTTCCCCGCATGGCGCTGTGATGAGGTAAAAGCAGTGAGCAGGCATTTTATATTTCCAAAAGCAGTCACTGTGACAATGGAGCCATAATGAGAATCAGAAAAGTCCTTGGAACACATACGTTAGCGTCATGAAATGCTTACAGCTTCGTTTAAGATATTATTTGTGATGAGCTTTTTTTGTGGGGAATTAATGACAACTTATGATGGTATCTGTCTTACCTGTTTGTTTGCAGTTTATTTAGAACTGCACATTCTGTTTCTTTAAAAATGAATGGCTGGTTAGCAAGGAAGACTGCCTAACCTGGCTGCTGTAGACTGAGTCTTCTGGAACCTTTGTGTGCGAGAGAGTGTGTAGAGTTTGTTGAAACCTGGAAAGACATTGAACTCTGTCTAGCCAAGTTCTCGGATCTGTGGCTGACTCTGGGTTCTTTTACACAGCACTAATGCTACAGTCCAAATGTTTCTAATTCTGTATTTCTGAGGAAAAAAAGACAATAACAAATTCCTTTCCCCCTTCATTTCAAAGTGATCTCAATGCAAGTGAAGCGAAGATATTAAAGAGAAGACAATCAGCTGGTTCTGTTTCTAGCTTCAGTGATGGGGTGTAGTATGCAAGTTACTGGACTGGGAATGAAAGGACCTGGCTTTATCTATCCTTAACATCAGTGATGTACTAAATGTGCCAGTGATATATCATTGTGGGCCTGATGATTTTACTTTATTTCTTTGTGCCAGGGTTTTTCATCCTTCAGTTAGGAAATAGCAGTTTATAAAGTGCTTTAGAATCTCCAGGTGAACTCACTATTGCAACCCATATTTCAGGGTAAACTCATATCTAATGGAAAGTGTCCACTGAAGTTAAACATTCACTAATGAACGTTTGAGCTCTGTGGCTATCCAGTGCTTTAACTAGCTGTTTTTATTTGAAACTGAGACTCAGTAAGAAGACGAAGCAAGTATGATCCAGGTAGTCTTAGCTACAGTTTAGGCAAGATCCTTTGAGTGCATGCCTCTGGCCATTGCATGCCTATGTTGACATATCGTGTCACAGGTAGTTTGCTATGTCTGAGAGGTTTCATGCTAGAATTCTAGGGATTATATCTGTTCAGTTCAGCTGAGGATTGCCTGGAAAAATGCTGAACTATTTGTTTCTTAGCTGTGCTGTGTTTTGGGGAATGCTGAAGTCAGAATACCATTTAAGATACTTCTTCTGTTTTCTTTTCATAAGTGCATGTGGGCTCACAATGAAAGGGTGAAAAATGCCTCTTAGGTTTGTCCTGTGATGCAGAGGGATAGGTTACCAGCTACTCCTAAAGTGTATTTGAGCTGAAGAGCAGCTAGAAAGAACAGCAAAATTTTTGTGTGGAAACGGTTCATTTGCTTAATCTTTGTATTAGAAGTTTGGTTAACATAAAATCAACAAATGAAGCTTTCCATGTTGGTTGTACATTGGTTTTTGTGAACAGAGGCTGCAATGTCTGGTTGTATATAACACATTCCTTTATACTGGAAGATTAAAAAAGTCTGAAAAAAGAAAAGAAAAGAAAAAATGAAAAGTTATATTTTCCACTTCTCACTTCCCAGCTGGAATATTTTAATTTAAGCCAATAGCAAAAGTATAAAAAGAAAAAGAAGAAGAAGAAAAGATTCAGCACTTCAGTGTATTCTGTTGATTCTTGGCTTACAAGTTTTGTTTTGCCTCCTTACCAAATCTCAGTCAATCAGCCGCAGTTTTAGGCAGTGATTCATCAACCAGCGTTTGAAACTGGTTTCAGCCCTCTTTGAAACTTTGGGAACAGAATCAAAGGAACTAAATACAAGCTAGTAAATATGCTTTGCAAGAAACCTAACATTTTGTATGATAGAGTACAAAATGCATATAGCCGCTGTTTTCTAGATTACATTGAAATGAAACAACTACATGCAGTGAGCTGGTCAGACACTCAGCATCGTTATTCTTTGCAAAACCTACATTTTATGGAAGATTTGAAATTAAGAGAAAGTCCTGTATAAATCATAGCTTTGCTGGCAGTTAGACCTGCTAGTATTCCCTGACTATTCCATGGTTTCTGTGGTGGTCCTGTGCTGAAATGGTTTTAGGCCAGCAAATGACAGCAAAGGTGTTAATTTGCTAACTCCAAGTTCCCTTCGCAAGAGCCTCCAGTACATGTTGGCAGGCTGAGGTTATGCTACGTTTTTCAGACAAGACGAATCTCTTTAAAGTTTAATATTTAAGCTGTAAAAAAGATAAAAGTGTTCACAGTAATTTTGAACTTATTTAATATTCCAATTAAGGAGCTAAGATTCTATAAAGCACAGAGCAGGAGTAAAATTATGGGTAGAAGTGTTTTTGGTTCTCTCAGTTGGTCCAAAATCTAGCATAGCTCCTAGCATAAATTAGCATGATCAAGGACTATTCAAATATATAGCAATCTCTGAAATGCTGACTACGGAATACTTTGAATTATAGATTAACTAGAACTCTTTCTCTTCTTCAGCTAGTGTGCACACAGTCCCTTTGCTACGATACCTATGTATTACAAGTTGGATATGGAAGAAAATTGCCTATGATGTGTTAGTGTTGCGGCTAGCACTTTCATAGTGCATTTATGCCACAAGCAGCGTTGAAGAATCAAAATCTATTCCTTTAATTTCTGTTATAATAAGAAAACAGGCTAAAGGAATGCGATTGTAAGCACTGAAGAGCTTCCCAGTCAGAACCTACCTGTTTGGTAAGCCATACCGCCTAGTATAAGTCCACATGGATATACTAACTGGAACAACATGGCTGTATTTTTCAGGATGGCATCTGAGCCAATAATTCCTGTTTTTTTGGCTTTACTTGAATTACCCTGACTTATGCCTTTGAATCTGACTGAGAGAAGTCAGATTGGGGATATTTGTATCCAGGGAACAGATATGCCCCAAACCCATGTTTGTGATCAAATTTGTTAGCGCAGAACTCTGCCTGCACAGATTTCGGCAGATCTCCGCAGATACAGTTCTCTGCTACTCCAGTTGAGGCCTCAGTGACTTAAACTTTCTTAAAATTCTTGGTGCTGCTTTAGGTGCAGTTACTGAACCTGTACTCAGGGGAGCAGTTTTACTTCCCTGCACATCGATGGCTAGCCTGGGACCAAGCTGATGGAGAAATCTGTCTGGAGCTTCCAGTTTTACATCAGGGTCAGCCTATTCTTCCAGGTAAGCATAATACCACATCAGCCAAGTCAGGCCAAAAATTAAGCTGATAAAGATGAACTTGCTGCTTTCATCAGCCTCTCTATTACTTTTTGGCAGCTATCACACTTCTTCTGTGCTCTTTTCCTGTGATTACTGGGCACACTCAGTAACCTCAGTAAAAGGTTAAAAATCACTGAAGAGGACATGGCAGAGTCTAAAGAGCTAAATTTTCCCAATCAAAAACAGTCCTGCTTTGGTTAAGATCTTCAGCATCTATGTTTGCTTTAAAATAGAGATAATAGTAAAGACATCTACAGATATTGGTTTGCATTTTTATTTAAAAAAATCAAGAAACAAAATAAACATATGACAACCATGAAGTCACCGTGAGTCAGATCACAAACCCTACTTGCAATAACTAAGAATTATAGTTCTGATATGACTATTGTAACTGCTATTTTAGTTTTAATTTCTATGTTTGGAATACAATTTTAACAATATTTCAAAATTCTTAAATATAAAAAGCGCCATTACTGACATACTAAAGTCAGGATTGATTTGTAATTCTAAAGGTCCATGATACCAAACAATGCCAACATTATTAGGTGCTGCTGCTGTTATAGTATCGGTAGTTGTAACGCCCTGCTCTTTGCTGTCCCACACCAATCCCTGTCCCCCATGCTAGAGGCTGTTGCTATATGGTCTCTCTGCTTCAGCAAGGGGAAGGGGGTAGGCAAAGACTGTGCTTCCTCTTGGCTTCTCAACAGCTGGCATTGCTCCTTCCTGGCCCTAGGAAAGTACAAGAACTAACAAGAGTAGGATCTGTGTATCTAAGGAGAGATGTGGGTGAGGGAGCAAGAAGCTGGGATAGGGATTCCTATCCTTTAGGATGTGAAGGTAGAGGGGGAAATGTCACAGCATCACCAATATTAGTTTTCACTTGAGCAAGACCGGGGACAGTTTCCAGGTCCTCTTCTTCTCCCTTCCTGGGAAGATCGGATCAACTGCAGAATTCAAGGTTAATGGAGTATGAGAAATACCCATCCAATGCTGTCTAAAACCTACTGACCTACTTTTCAGAATGTTAATAATACAGCAGTACCTGGTGATATTGCAGTACTTTTGCTAGTCATGAAAGAATGAAATTGTAATACCCATCACTGCTGTGGGTACAGATTAGGGGAAGAGGAAGTAAATGAAATTGAAGGTCTGGAAAATGGCACATGAATGTGGGGAAACGTGCCACGGGGCGTCTTAGTAATAAAGAGCTGGGTGGCCTTGACCTGTATTTCTGCCTATGATGACTGAGCATTGAGGTTAAGAACCTGAAAAAAAGAGTGGAAAAAAGGTTTATGCCTCATTAATATGCATTTAAAAGAAAAAGAGAATTGCAGGAAAGATTTTCTCCAGCAGTCTAGCTAGCAGCGGTAAATAGCTTATGAAATGCTGCAGAGAAAGGCAGGTCAGCACAAATCACAGTGATTTGGGATCCTGCGTGGCTAGCACCTTTATGCCCCCAAGGAGTGAAAAAGCCTCAGGGGCAGCCTGCTTCTTCTCAGATCTGAGCTCTTTGGGAGACTCTTAATATTATTAGCATAGGGTGCATACAAGCACAGTAGTCAAAAAATCCAGCCTTTAAAATAAACAGTAATTAATGATCACTAACATATTGTTAAACTGAATATGCTTAGTTCCCTTCCCTGCAGTATCTGTTCTTTTCCAGCCCTTCCTTACTTAACATTCTGGGACCTTGACTGTTCTCACCTTCTAATTTCAGGCTCTTCTTTCTAAGTTGTTTCTTTGTTTCTGAAATAAAGAAATAATGAAAGATTTTTATTATCAGGTAATCTTGATACATCATAGAGCACAACAGCACACTTAAAACATCCTCTCAATCTGCATTTTATCATTGGTAGTTTCTTCCTCACACAGGAAAGGAAGAAAAGAACTTCTGTGTACTTCTGGCAACCTCAGTATAATAGGGGTCGTGCTGATGGTTGGGAGAAGGGAGTTTCAGCTCTAAGTCAGTAACTGAAAGACAGCCTCTGCCTCTTTTTCCCAATATTGTGTTTCTGCATGAGACAGAAAAGAGAACATAGCTTTTAACTTCAGAGAAGATAGTTTGATAACAGAACAAGTGAAGAGGACTGGATTCAGTCTGAAAGAGAGATGATGAAAAGCACTTTAAAGCCAATTTCTGAATAAAAAGAGGCTGAAATACTTTCTGATTTAACAGTCTTTTATATTCACGGGAAAAAAGTGGGAATTAAACAAAACTGTTAAGAAGTATTACAGAGAGACCTCATGGCTCTGGTTTTGAGGGACTGAACACTAATGCACTTGACTTTCTTCCTGAGCTATCCTAATTTTGTCTCCTTCTACTCATGCATTATGACGCAGTCTTTAAATATATGACAGTGAACTGTTCCCTGGTGATAAATCAGTGTTACACAGTATTTGGTGACTGTTGGACCTCTACTTTTCTTGTCACAGAAAGCGGAAAATGGAGAGTTAACAAAGGAGGGACTTGTAGGAAGAGAGAGGATTGTCGTGGTTTTAGATATGGGAGTGGTGATGTGGAGAAATGGATTCTCTTTCCTGCCTCTGCCACAGCCTCTACATAGAATGGGGTACCAGTTCACGTAGATACTTTAAAGAAAAAACTTAGGGACATAGACAGATCAGGTGGTGACAGGGTGAACAGTGTGGATAAAATAAAACATTAACTGTCAGTTGTTAAATGAAGACTATTTTGAGTATTGAGGCACGTATATTTTGAGGAAAAAGCTAGTAGAGGACTATGCTGTTAAAACTGTCAGAAGCTTCTGCGCCTGAATATATGACTGTTTTTTTCCCTACCATACTGGTTGATCAGACAAAGATATACATTCTACCTGTTTGTTCTATTCTCATAATTCATAGACATAGAGCGGAAAAACTAAGTTTCACAAATAACCGTAATCCTGACACTTTCTAATTTTAGAGTACTATGATACTATGTTTACAAATTTAATGTTCTACACTTATAGAGAAAAATAGATGTAAAGAATATAGTTCCTTCTCTTAATCTCTGTTCTGCACACTATTCCATGGAATATCTAAAGGAAAGACAAGCGCCTATTACCTAGGATAAAAAGTGCAAGAATCATACCAGCATGATCCTTAGCCTTATGTAAGGTTAAGAGCGGTGTCAAAACTTGTGAAAACTGCTTGAATTTTTTATTTAACTATTTCAAGCTTCTATCTTAGATTTTTAAAAATGTATGTCTGTAGTACAAAATTCCAGTGGAACGTAGAGTGACCCAGTGAGCACATCTAATTGAGTTCACTCTGATGTTAGAAGCAAACTAACACTATATCATACAATTCTGTGTGGGCACATTAAAATAACCTGTGCAGACTGAATATCTGTTTAACTAGATTGTTACTTCTATCCAAACTAACTTAAGAACAGCTCATATGGTAAACCATGCAGAAAAGCCATAGAAATAAATGTGAGAGAAACATAAAGAAATTAATATCAAGAGAGACTGAAAAGCCACTTGGCACAAGTGCAGATGTGGATTAATCATGAGTAAATTGGCACTGGTTATTAAAAGAAGGTGTTTGGCCATCAGGAGAGTGAGATCTGGGTGCAATCTCCTACTGATGAATTGGAGTCAAACTTCATAGTATATTTCAAGTGGGAACTGAAAATGGAATGATGATAATGTTGATGTGCTTCCAGACCCAGTGGTCCAGAAAGTCTTTTCTATTTGCAAGGCAGAGAATGACAAGGATACCTACATCCCAAAGAAGAAGGAGAGCTTGTATGCCAGAACTGGAGATTGTTTTCTCCCCCTTTCATTCGTTCTCTTTGTATCTCATTTGGCTGAACAAAATGCGTTTCTCATGTTCCTTTCTAAAGAGTGCAATTACGTATTTTTATCTTAATTCTGAATTTTCTGAGTTTCCTGCATCTGCATTTTAATAAGCACAATTTTCTATTGATATATATATATATTTATGTGTCATAGTTTTTACTGTGGTTTCGTAGGCTTTTGACTCAAACTTTGTTTTACTGTGGATTACATATTTCCATTAAATAGCCAATTTATTAAACTTAAGTCCTAGATTTTTCTTCACAAATTTACAGTGTTTAATGAATTTTCATATGGAAATTTAAAACATTTTCATATGGAATTTTCATACTATCCTATTGCATGAAGCACTAAAATATTAAAGCAATAAAGCTTTCTGAATTCTAAGATCCTAAAAAATGAAAACTATGATGCTAGATTTTTGCATGTTTGGTTAACCAATGTGTTCAGGAGGCTAGTGACTCCTGTCGATTGTTTTAGTTTTCATCTCACTTATGCTGACCCTAATCTTAAATTTATGTTGTTTACTTTTCTGCTTTTTGATGACTTCAAGTGGTGCTGCAGGACGAAGAAATACTGTTGTGCCTTTGAAGCTCAATTCTGTTTGCATTCCCCATAATGACAGTATTAAAAAAAAACAAGTTTGTACATAATTTTACTTAACTTTTAACAGGGTTTTTAAAACTTTATACAGATATATTTGGACTCTACAGTCACTTTTGCAGCTGGGTGATATTGTAGGTACAGCAGTGTTTCCAATATAAAAGGTTGTCATCTTTTATTGTCAGTGACCGTCTATGAAGTGCACGTGACAACAGGAGAGCTATGGAATGCTGGAACTGAAGCTGATGTCTATATGTCTGTTTATGGAGAAAAAGGTGATACGGGATCAAGACAACTGCACCGGTCACAGAAACCTAAGAATTTTTTAAAAGGACAAGTGAGTAAAAAACAATGCATTTTCTCATCTTTTTGGCTGGCTTTTCTCTCTCAGTTGAGTTCTTATCCCAGGGCAAGGTGCAATTATAAAAAAGATAATTACTGCATTGCAGTGTTCCCCCAAAATTGCATAAGTAAGCCAGAGTTACTTTCAAAAGATTTATCAATGCTTCTAGAAGACAATTAAAATTTTTATTTATAAAATAGATAAACTACATACTTTTAATTCTTTTATTAGTTTGAATTTAAAGTGGAGAAAACAAAACTTTATATACATTTTATATCTGCATTTCTAATGTTGAAATCTGCTGCAGGTTGCAACTGTTTAGTCAATTAAGCTTTAGGAGGAGTTATGTTCTCTGACTCTAATCCCACTCATTTGAATGGAACTACTCCCATTAGCAAAGTGATCAGGTTTAGTTATTTCTGTTGTTTCAAGAAACCTGTCTTGCTTGATTTGTTCTGATACTATCCTTAACTGATATTTCACAGTTTGTGCTTGACAAGAGTTTTGTGGGTTTAAGTAGACCTTTTGGATTCCAGGACTGAAGATTATTTTGCTTTTTGGATCTTACTGAATTATTTTTGATTGATTATAGACTGACATCTTTCCTGTTGAAGCTGTGCACCTTGGACCTTTGTACAAGATTGTTATTGGACACAATGGTCTTGGCTCAGGTCAGAAATCTCTGTAGTCACTGAATACTGCGTACAAAGTTATTCATCCTTTGTTTAAAATACAGTATGTATTTCTAAAATAGAATATTATAAAGATATTTTAGAAGTGAGAGATAAAGGCTAATAATAAAACTGTAAGTGACACAGTTACATTCTTGTACCATCACAGATTTCAAATATTCTCTCTTCTCTTTCACCATACTCTCAACCATTAAGTTAAGGACACCAAATGTTACTGTTCTGTCATTTTAGACTAATCCCCACAAAAAAAAAGATGCATTTGGAGACTTTGGCTACAATATCTCATCATTTAAACATAAAATTGCTTGCAGTCACAAGCCTCATTTTGTAAACACCTCTTCCCCTATTTACCTGAATAGGTAGAACACCTCAACTTTTTCTCTATGTGTAGAGGAAAGAATACAACATCTGCTTTGTAGTCCTCCTCCATGAGTGGCCATAGCTGGGTGACTCTAATCCATGGCTCAATCAGAGATAGTACTCAGATAACTTTTGAGAGGATAAAGGAGTGAAGATAATGTCTTTCTCTGCAGTATCTTTCCTACCCTACTTCTAGATGGAGAGATAGTGGAGGTTTTGTTTACTTACTTTCTCTCTTTTTCTGGCAGACAACTGGTGGAGAGCACAATTAATGAGTAAATGGTTCCTTCCGAATAAGGACTCTAGACAGGAACAGTCATCCCTACAACTTCTCAGCAGTTTTTTTCATACGAGTACATAGGACTGGGAAGGAAAATAATTTTGAGAAAAACGTTTGTATGAGGCAGATCTTGCTTTTCTCCTCCACCCCAGTGCCACCTGCTGTGATTTTCTCAAAGTCTGCCCTTTATTTGCAGCCTCTTGTTTTAATGAACCTCTCTACTATTTCTGTTTTAGTTAGTTAAAGATTTGCTTGTACTATACACATAGAAACTCAGGCAGGCTATGCCGAACTCAAAAGAAAAACATGATGAGATAGTTTCTTTCTCTGTGTCTGCACTGAAAAAGTGGGAGGAAAGAAAAATTGTCCAGTCCAGGTGCCTTTGATCTCTTTGGTTTGTGAACTTCTCTAAAAACTTCCAGTGGAGACACGGACCCTTCTGCAAAACATTCTGAGAGCAGACTTACATTTGTCTTTTACCTTCTATGGACCCTCCATAAATAGTTTTGTGGACTCCTGGAGGTTAGTAGACCAGAGCTAGATATAGTGAGTGCAATCCCATTTCAGTCTTGTTAACAACCTTCTTTCTGATAAGTAATTGAGTTATGTTTTCTTTTGGCTTTTGGTTTGGTTTGGTTTGGCTTTTAGTTAGCTTTCCATCCAGATTTCGTTGTATCTTAAGATTCTCATGTTAACATAGGTTCCATTTTCGAGCCCTTCAGTTCGCTTAGCTGATTTCAAGGGAGAGCCCAATATACACTGATATTTTTGTATGTCATAAAGGAGTTTTCTGTGGTGGGCTCCTGCAGTGCTTGATTCACAGCAGTAAGCTGAGATCAATAGCATCAAAAATCAATTTTTTTCTTTTTATTTTGTGCTAGTCAATATGACCCAACAGAATAGGAAGTGGTATGCACCCTTTAAACTGGCTAATGGTTAAACTATCAACTTGCTGAATGTTTGAAATATTCCAAAGAATTATACTACCTTTTACAGTGTTTCATCATTAAGAAAACAGTGCAGTATTTAACCCCTTGAACTCTCAAAGGATAATTGTTTTTTCTTATATATATTTTAATAGTTTGTATATTCAAATATATATATTCTAGTATATATTCTGCTGATAAAAATCAGAGGAAGTGCTAGTATCTTGATAAGATGCTATCTAACCTTGTTGATATTTTTATTGGATTAAAAAATGTCTTCTAGAATGACTGCATTAAATAAGAGTTATAGGGAGCAATAAAAAGCAATAGGGACCTGGAACAATTCACTTTCAAAACCACAGCACTTCTAGTATATCCAAATATATAAAATAATTTTGTTTACCTTACAGTATGTAGGGCACTAACTAATATATTTTCAGCAAGAGATTAACTGGATGACCTATATAAATAAGTCTTTGGAAGTCCTGACAGTAAGAGGTTTATCTGTGTTGAAACTTCCTGAGCCTGATTCTGATCTAAGTAAAATGGGCTACCGCTAGCATAGCACTACTGCAGTATAATTGAAGTATAATTTAAGATCAGAATAAGGCCAAATATGTGACTAATTTGGAGTGCATTTTCAGTTTAATTTTTAGTCTATTTTTCAAAGGAGACATTTCTAAGTTTATGTATTCAGTTTATGCATTCTCTTCTTTTTGGTTCTACCTTTCCCCACTGGAGGGTCTCCAAGGTACAAAATTGGTACGACAGACTTACACATTCTCCAGTAAACGATCCAGCAGTTGAATGGAGCCACCAAAATCATTCTCCCTACTATCCTTTCTACTCCAGCAGTTGAGAGTGGCGCATTTTGTCTGGCTTGCTACTGTCAGGAAGCAGCAAGGGCAGGCTGTTCCGTAGGAAAGAGGGAGCCATGGGTGACAGAAAGGTAGGCAAGGGCAGTGACATTACAGACAAGAGGCACAATCCCATAGTTCACACAAGGAGAGAAGAGCAGATTCAAAGATGGTAACCAGGGTCACCTGACAGTCTGGCATCAAGTAAATTCATAGTGATCAGGCAGGTCCAAGATCAAGCCATGAAATCAAATCAAGAGGTCAGGATCATCAAGGTACGTGGCTAGGCATACATATAGGCATATATATACATATAGGCCTATATATACATATAGGCATGCATATACATATATACAACATAGCTCAGGCAAGGACCATGTGTGAAGGTCTGAGCTTAAATGCAGCTCCTGGTCAAATGTCGGGGCCAAGCTCCACTTCTCACAGGGTCATGACAGCTAGGTAGAGAATGAGCAGCTTGTAGGCCCATAAGCTAACTCCAGACTGGCTAGAACATGTACTGTCTCCTGTCCAGCCATCAGGGCAGCCATGACCCTAGAAACCTACTAATGGAGCTGAGGATTTTGCAGGTCCAGCGAAAGAGGGAAAGCCGTAGGAAGTCAGACTTCATTCAATCTGCTGATCATAAACTAATTTTTATTTTGAAATTTGTTCTAAGGAAATGGCTGGTTTCTGGACAAAGTTGTAATTAAGGACCCTATCACAGATCTGGATTATACTTTCCTTTGTCACAGGTTGGTAGTGTTTCAATTGAATTCAGTTTTTAATAAAGCTCTACTTATACTTTTTTCTTCTGAAACGTCCTATCAAGCAAGATGCATGTTTCCTAAAAAGTGAGCTGAAAAGATCTGAATCTTTTTACAATTCTCTAATGATAAAAGGTTCTGCCCACCCTAACCTCTGGTGCATTTGAGCTAATGAACAAGCAATGAATAAGTAATGAAAAGTGCAAATTCTTGCACCTTGTGAAATATGTAATAGGTGATTTTTTGGCACATTCTGCATATCCAGCGTTTTGAATCTGACACCAGCAGATCTATTCTTCATGTAATCAAATACAAGACTTTTCAGAAGAGGAGGCTGCTGTATCTCCATGAGACTAAGCCTACTTTATTGAAGTCAATGGGGAAAATACCTCTGAGTTCATTGAGCTCAGGATGAGACTTCCAGATCTTGTGGAAGAGCTGTCACTAATGCAGCTATCTGAGCTCATCTTTTTTGCTTGTTTGCCTTATAGCCTGTTAGTGAGCTGCAACGTAATTTGAAGCAATTCTAACTTGCTTGCCTTCTCCCCGTAGATGCTGCTCCTTTGAATCTTCTGTTCTATAGCTCACTTCTAATTTTATCTAAGCGTGATTAATTCTCAACACCTTATGGAAAAATTATAATTGATAAAGATCAAGTGCAAATATTAGGAATGGTAAAATCCAGTCACGTATGAATCCAGCTACAGCTTGCCAGTGGCACTTCAATTCTATTTTTCTCCTCTCACTTCTCTGAGTGAATAAATAACTGCCTGAGACAGCTCCGAGTGAGCGATGTGCACACTGAAACTGATTTATGTGTGAGTAAGGGCTTTCTGCCTATCAGATACAGCACCTCATCTTTGCCTGACCTAATTTTGATTCTGTATTCTAGATGAGATGAACTGCTATCAAGACATCTATAATGCTAGTTCCATACATAATTTAGAGAGAGTTCAAATCCATTTCAGGCAGAAAAACACAGTGTATGTGCTAGTTATTGTTAGAGGCTGATGCCATTCTTGCTGATTTTGTTTTCACGATGTGTGAATCCCTTTGACTCAAATGGGCTTAGACTTAATTTATGCAAGTATATGTGAAGCAAGTACAAAGGCATTGTAAAAGCATAATTGAGACATAGTGGGAGTATTGCTTGTGTTGGATTTGCCTTCCTGAGTAGGGATTTGTGGGACATGGTAAAGTTTTCATTGTGCTGTAGTGTTCTTGTAGACAGGAAGAGAAAACATTAGGCCACTGCACCTTTTGTTATTGATCTGGGATCAGTCTGACCTCTGATTTGTAAGAACTGGCTTACACCCCTGTATGTCAATCCAGGAAAACATTTAAGTATATGTTTCATCAAGAATCAAACAAAAAAAAAGGAAAATTAAAAATAGAAAAGTACTTTGCAAAAGTCAAGCTCATTTCCTTAAAGCTGGATTTTTACATTGCTGCTTGGCAGCCTTGGGACCTTAATGAACACAATAGGAAGCTTTAGCATGCAATTATCTTACACAGAGTATTGTGGGAATTGCCAATAAAGTTTATTATACTGAAAAGAGTTCTGATTTTTAGATGGCTGGACCATGGGCAGGATGATGGCAAAATTGCTAGAGAACTGACTGTGACAGATGCCAGCCCATTTTCTGGAAGTAAGTGAAAACTGGTGGGGAGGAGAACCCAGCCTCACTATAGAGGTATCAGAGGGCATGAGGTTGCTGTATAAATTAATCATATGCTTTTTTTCTGTATAGGACAAGAGCTGGAACTCAAGAGAGAAGAAAGTGTAAGAACTTACCTTTTTATTGTTATTTTAAGCTATGGATGTGATAATATTCAAATTAGGCTTTGAGTGAAATCAGGTCAGTTGTTCTCATGTACCTCAAATTCCTGTATTTCATAAGTCTTTTCTTCCTGTTGTTTAAAAAACCAGTGGGCTGCTGAAAAGTGGAAGTTTCAAGAAGGCAATACACTTCAGTTCTACAACAGGCTCACCCGTGGTTTCATATGCCTCAATCCAGATGGCAAAGTTGATGCTCTTGGTGACAAGAAAAACAAATATGGTAAAGTATGGTTTTATGCATAAAATGTGCAAGAAAGGAGAACTTCATAGTTCACTCTGGTCTCCTGTAGTGATTCCTGTTGTGAATAGGAGTAAATCATTATAATAATGATTTTTCTTCCTTAAAACATTTACACATATTAATGACTATAAGAACTCAAAAATTATATGCTTACGTTACCTATAAAAAAAGAAGAAGAAAATCTCATATGATATCTTTTCATTGCCTTTCATGGCAAGAGCAGTTAAAATCTTCTGTAACTAGAAAAGATCCATCAAAACTAACAATTTCAAATTTCCAGGTATAATTCATTAACAGAGATTTTATATATATTTAGTTTTGTTTCATCCTTGTTTTTGATTTTAATGACTCTCCTTCCAGTTTCTCCTGTTTATCAGCGTCCATCTTACCATGTTACTGACACTTATTCTAGCTAGTGTCAGATCAGGCACCAGCATTTTTTTTATCTTTGTAGTGATGGAGCTGTTCAGCCTTTCTCATATCTTCCATAAAACCTTACATATATCTTTTCGGAAGTGATGACAGAACAGAATCTTGCAGGACACACCAACGAGTATAGGCAGAGCAGGCCTCCTCTGCATGGCCAATAAAAGCATCTCAGAAAAACTGCCACCCAAAAACTCAAATGGATAACATGGGGCATCAGTAGTATTACCAAGCTTTGAAAGTGAGTTTTACTCTATTTTGGTAAAGCTATTTTTATCAGTTATCAATATCAGTTTTTGAGTTCAAGTTATCCAGTGATTTGAACTCTGAATTTGAACTCAAATCTCTTATCAATGGCACTAGCATTTCAGAGTATTTCAAATGCCTAATAACAGTTTCCTGGCAGTGTCCTTCCTTTGAGGAGCTCCATTCAGGATCACAAACTGTGAATTATTCTGTGAAAGAACAGGCTAACTGCTTGTAAGAATCTGATCTCTAAGCTGTGCTGATGCAGGAAGTGTATATAATTTTTAGTGCTGTGTCTTTGATTTCTGGATTATATCCAATTTGATTTCACAAGACATCACAGAACCTCTAATCTCCTGAAGTGCAGAATTCAAATTCACACTGCAGATACTTTCCCAACTTTAATCCAGATGTACTTTCCTTTCTATGAATTCATGCGTTTCTAGTGGCATTTTTCAGACATAAGCATGTGGCATTTCTATTGCCTTCTGCACATTTTTAGTGCAATTTTACATGTTATTTTGTGTGTAAAATCCCCATGAATCTTATCTGTACAATTTTACATGAGTAATATGATCAATCTGTGTATAACTGTTTCAAACTCGATGCACAACTACAACAAATATCAGTAGGTAAATACACAAAGTATAATTAAATATCTTGAAGCAAAGTTAGATCAAAACCAAATGGGTGTAAGCTGGCTGTTAATTAATTAGGTTGGAAGTCAGAAACATGTTTCCATGAGTAATATGATTTGCAGCCTTCCAAAGACTTAGTAATACTTAGAAATTAAACTGATGATCAGAAAGAGCTTGATTTTTCTGAACAATATTATAAAGTTGTGCTGATATCAGAGGAGTAGACATAGTGACCCAGGAGTAAATATGTATTCCTATTCTAATATTTCAGGATAGTAAATGAACACAAGTACAAAATGAATGTAGGCCCCTATCACATAACTCTTCTGCTTCCAGAGCAAAATCTTCCTCCATTTCTTTCAGATTTGTTTGGGTTACTCATACGTACAATAGTTTACATAGTGGCTCAACTAGTTATGTACAGCAGAAGTCAATGTATTGACTTGAAAATTGCATGTCGGGGCTCTGCTTTTTTGCATGTGCTTTGGGATAAAGTCCTTCAACATACACTAGCTACTTGTCTTTCCTAGTAGGAAACTGCATGTTTCAGATACTGGTAGAACTGCTTATTAATAAACAGGAGCCCAGATCTTTACCAGACTTAACCAATATATTTTAAAGCCCTTCAAGGTGGTGATGGCAGATTATGCCAGGTCATGATTTGGTCTGGGGTTTTCAATTTCTCAGAAAGTTCTATTTCTGTCTAAAACAGAGAAGACCCACTTGGCAGTTATGTGTCACTTCCTGTGTTGCTCTGAGGGCTGGAAGTCTCATCTGTATTTTAGGCCCAAGGCCTCCCATAAATTGTGGCATCATCCCAATAGGCACAACACTCATTGCCTATATATAATTCTCTTGTTCCCAATGACACCATCAAAATCTTACATCATGAGCAATCCAGGACTCATCTGGAGACAGCTACAGCTTACAAACAGGACAACACGACGTAGTGGTACAACAGGTGTTCTAATAATCAGCTGCTGCTGGTAGGGACAATAAAAATGTCATTGCTTTATCTTTAGCTTTCATCAGTATTTTGCAACCAGAAGAGGTAACTGTTAAGAATATTAGAAGCCATGAGCCATGCTGCAAGATTTGCTTTACAAATTCTAATATTAATGCAGAAAAATGAATTTTGTTTTCCTACCTGAGAGTTTTATGCTACTTACATTATGTATTATTTATTGTGTAAATTCAATTGCTATAACCCAGTTCATTACACTGGCATCCCTGACTTCCTTTTTATGGAATTTTTCAAAAATGTACTCCAATGAAGAGAGCATTTTCCTTATCAGTAGTTCTCAGGGTTATTTTCCTCCAGGCAGAGAGACTGATAGCAGTCTCTAGATGCTCTGTTCTAAATGAATGAGAAGGGAATTCATTGCTCAGAGGTCAAACTGTTAAGTTTCAGAGGTCGAACTGTTAAGTTAATAAATACTTAATTTATTCTTTTCCCTTTAAAATGATAAGTCATTCATTGTAATTAGATACAAATACAAATTAATAATCTTTCATGCTTCTACCAATTTTTTCATTCAACTCTTAGGTCTTTTTGATGTAATTGTCAAAAGGAGAAATACATGTATATTCAGCAGTCATCAGATGCCACATCTTGCTCTTGCTGTTGTCAATGGCCATGTAACTGGAAAGGTAGGAAATGCTCTTACTGATTGCTGTTTCATGATAACATTTCGTTATGTGATTAAAGATAGTGCTGTTTTTAATCTGTCTAATAAATAATCACTCTTCCAGTCAGGTAAGGAGCTAAGAGCTAAAGAATAAACCCAGGAAACTGCCAGTGGTTAGGCAAATTCAGACCTCGGGCTTTGTTTAGGGTCTGTATTCTCACGGTTTACTTTTTAATCCTTGATGAATTTTTTAAAGGCCTGAATGTTTGGTGTGGGAATACCAGACTGTTCCAAGCTATGAGTTATATTGACTTGTCACATGCTGACAAGATACTTGGAATGCCCAAATATCCCTTCTTTTTGGATAAGTGTCAATTCTAAGGACTGATTTTAAATGTCCATTTATTTCCTTTGTGTTTTGTTTCTAGGTAACCTGCCTATCAAAAGCCAGCCAAAATATTCTAGATTTGTTTTGATCATTACTGTTTCATCCTCTCTTCAAAGCCTTTCTTGCTCAGCACTGGCAATACGCAAGTGGGCAAATGCAGTTGTAGAAGTTAGTTCTTTCTGACGGAACTCTCTACCGACAAGGGAGGAAACTGCTTCCCTTTCTATTATTTAACCAGTGAATAATCTAATAGTCAAAGCAGGCCCCATCTCTCTCTTACATGATGTGCACTGGCATTAGAGGGAATAGAAGGCTTTCAGCAGAAGTAGGTCTCTCAATGGGAATAGCTTCAAGCTGCCAGGCAAACCGTCAGATCCCCCTGCAGGGCTTTCTAGCTTTCATGTTCATTAGCATAATTCTGATAAAGAGAACCTCTTGCAGCCTGTGACATTGCATGCAGTATGTATCGCTGCAACAGGGTGTTAACTGGGTGCTTGAGTCCCAGCTCTCTCTTTTCTTCTTTGTTACTGACACGTTATGAGCTTGAGCAACCTATTGAAACAGTGGCTCTCAATTTTTTTGTTTTTAATGCAAGTGCAAGTGCAAGATGCTCCTCTTCTCAGGGAATGTGAGAAATATTGTTTTTGTTTAAAATTCTTTGAGGTCCTTAGAATGAATATATGTAAACATAAACCAAAGTGGCAATAAAAGGATTACATTGACCGTGAAATGCACATTTAATTATATTTTGAGGGCATGCTGGCTCATTTCTTTCACAATCACCTCTAAAATCCATCCAATTTTTCCTTTACTTTTTAAAGTCTATATTGGATCTAATAGACAGTTTTTTTGAGAATGAAGATCTTTCTTCAAAATGTAGTGCTTGGGAAATGAAAATTTTCTCTAGAAATATTCGTTCTTTGAATTATGAAAAATACTGAAAAATGTGAAATTATGTAAACCAGAAGTCTTTTAAATTATTGGGTTGATTATTTGCATTTAATGTTTAATAAAGTCCTAGTTTTATTGAAATATGTGGATGATGATGAAGTTGATAAAATGCTTAAGTAAGTATTTTGTATATTGTTTCTTTCATACAATGGGATCACAGTCTGCAAACCTGAACAGATAAGCATGGATAGTGGTTGCTTTACTCTTCGATATAAAGCTCATGATTCCATAAGTGTTACCTGGGAGAGTAATATAAACTAATGAGGAGGGACACTGAAGCAAATGAAGGAGGGTTGGTGGTAGATAGTTAATTTAGTTCATTCCCTGTGTATGCTGGTTTTATGTTCCATCTGCCTTGCCCAAGTTTTTAAGCTGTGACTCTCTAATTGGAACAGCCAAGTATCTTTCATGTTACCCTCCAATTTGTGTCATTTTAAGACGAAATGTTTCTATATTCTGACATGCCATAGAAGCTACAGTTCTGAGCCTCTCGGTTTTAGAACTGCAGGTAAGAAAAAGCAAGTTTGAGGAAATAGAAGGATATTTTCATATTAAACTGGTACCATCACTGTAGTGTAGAAACTGGAATGGTACGAAAACCATGTCATCATACTCATTCTGTTTTGGATTTTGCCATGTCTTGTAGTTCATATCATTGATTATTCCTACTTTAACCATGTTAGCACAAAGGTGAGACTCACTGTGAACTGTGTGTTCACCTTCAACCAAATTGCTGTGCCATTCTGGAGTCAGCCAGGAATCCAGGTCACACTGTTACGTTCAGTCTTCAAGGCAAAGTAGCTGATGAAACAACAGGATATGCTGGACTTTCCAAAGAATTTGTTGTGCATGTTAAGGTAAGGTGGGTGGAGAGGCATTAAGACCCTTCTGAAACTTACCCTTATAAGCAGATTGCATTTGATTAAATCTCAGAGGACTGCGAGATGAAAAGTGATCCTCTTCCACGAGGTGGAGCTAAACTACAGTTTAACAGGTATGTATTACTTGAGAAATTTTCCTTTAAGCCTCGTCTAGGGAAAGCAATTAAAATCCTGTGGCTGGTATGTTCAATTAAGGTGAGTTAAAACCTAGAGAAAATAAAGATACATCTCTGAAATTTTAAGAAAACCTTCCAAAAGGTTGAAAGTATGCACATGCAGGAGAGTTGCAGGAGAAATTACTCAATTTGAAATGAACATTCCTTAACCTGCCACCAAACTTGTGCTCAGAATGCTATGCTACGCTGCTAAACAGTAAGCAGCAGTGCAACTGTGGAGTGGTGAAGGACTTCCACTATTCAGATTAGTGTTTGCACAGAATTACAGCACATGTCCAAAGGCTGAAGGTATATTTCAGTTATTTGGGACTTATTCACTTACATTTTATACACGGAAATGCATGAAAAAAATGCTTAAAATAAATCAGTATAGACGGTAAAAACGTCAAAGATAAATGTGGAGAGATGCTGTGCTATTAACAAAGGACTTGTTGTCTCTGATGCGAAGGGTGTATTTCACCATGGTGCCGTCATTCTGCTCAACACAAGCCTCTGCCAGGCTCTCTCCCTTGGGCCTGATGGCAGATGCAGCGGAGCGGCTGCATAAAGTCAGCTCTGGAGTCTGCATGTTTGAAAGTGTGAGAAACCCACGAATGTATTTGAAGATAAAAGATGGCCAGTGTAACGGAACAGTAAGCGGTTCCTGTTTGTGTTTTCCTCTGCATGTTATTTGAGTATATTGTCAGTGATAGCAGTGAATCTTTTTTGAGTTGCTTGGACAAAAATGTGATAAAAACATTGCTCAGGTTTAAAAATTTTCAGATCTTTTCCCTTATTTGCCCAAGGAAAGAGAGAAATGCAACAGGCAAGTTGTCAGATATGTTCAACACTTGATTGTAAAGATCTACTTATATTTTTAAACTAGGGAGAAAGTGGATGCAATTGAAGCATATCTGTTGGTAGATGATGACTGTGTCAAGATTCTGTTGCACTGATCTGTTTTCTATTGAACAACTACAGTTACACTGATGTGAGTTTTTGGGGAGAATGTTGATGCCAGGGAGCGATGGTGGGTGTTCCCAGCTTTTATTGAACAATTCTGTTTTGTTTGAAATTAAGGACATGATTTTTTTTTTTCATCAGCTAACATCATGTAGAGTTTTTTATTCTTGAAATTACCTTACCATTTATAAGTAGTCTTTATATTTAGGAGTAAAACTGGATTTGGGAAATGATTGAAATATTCTGATTCTTTAATGAATTTGATTTTTGAACCTGCTAGGAGTTTAACTATTGTAGATTTACATTTGAAAGGAAACAAATTTACTCTTTAGACTCAATGTCTACTAACCCTACATCTATTTATTTATAATAACTGATATAATTGTTTGGAATGTGGCAGAATGTTTTGTGATTGAAAGTGGTATTAAGTGTAAACTGATGATTGATCAGAACAATACTAATGAATAATTAAGATGCAACCTGTTGAGATCCATGACAGTTTTCCCACTGACTCTAATAGACTTTGGTAAGAGGTTGAAGTATTTTATGCATATTTTGTATATATATTTGTGAATGTCTTACTTTTTAGCAGTGCCCTCACTAGTGGACTGGGAGGCCTGGCTCAAAAGGAGAGTTTCACATATAGCTTGTACTTTTCTCTCTAGCAGTTAATACGTTTTGAGGTTAAAAATGTAATATATGAGTGATCTTCTCTAAGAAACGTTAAACTGGGATTTTATTGTCTGTTTTTGGTTATTGTTCAGAAGGAAGTTGTCATATTCTAAAGACTAGCTGAAACCCTGATGCCTTAGCCCATGTAACTGTGACTGCAACTTTAGTGTGTACGATTCTGTGTGCTTTTAAATCCACAGTCATATTAACTTATTGCTGTTAAAGGATCTGGTTCTCTCAGAAGTGTATAGAGGCTTTGAATGAGTAAAGGCTTTGAAATTTATCATGTAAGTACTATGAAATGGGAATTAAAAATGTTAAGAGCAGGCAGTAAAAGTAGTTTATGAAAAGCAGAAAAATGTATTTAATAAGTGTCATTATGTCATGTAATGCTAGCAAGTCTGCATTATGTACAAACTCATATATATTTCCTCTGTTGTCTAAAATAGAATTTTTCACATTCCCTGCCCTCCCGAAACTTGGCTAAGTGGGAAACTACTTTGAAGATATCTTAGACTTTGCCTAAATCCTCACATGAATTAGAATGTTTTCACATGTGATTTTTTACTTACTCAGACTATGTGATTGGCCTCATCTGACCACAGAGGAATAAATAGGGCCAAGATGCAGATTTGTGTGTGCGTGTGTGTGTGTGTGTGTGTGTGTGTGTGTATGTATAATAACATAACACATTGAGAGGAACCTAAATTTGAAATGTCGTTAGAAGAAAGTAATATTCAAGTCTTAAGAAACACCCAAGTTCCCCAGTTATATCAATTCAATTGTTGAATTCATGTTTCTGTTTTCAATTTCTTAGGGCACAGGTGATGAATACTGTCACTTTAAAATTGAGCATAATTTGGAAAGCGGGTCTGTAAGCCTCGAATCAGTGCGAAACAAAGGAATATATGTTGGTCTTCTGCCAGATGGCCAGGCTAAGCCAGTCATTCACACTGGAGAGAGAAACATTTTATTCTATCCCCAGGTCATCAAATGTATGTGATTTCTTAATATGCTTCAATTTGCTTTAGTGATCGGTGTTTTTGACTGACAAAATTCAAAGTAAAAGCATAAAAGCTAAACTTATACAATTTTCCTTGTGTGTTTGAGTACTTTTAAAGGTGAAAAGTTTATTGCACCCACACATAATTTCTCCTGGGTGGCTAGTTATTTTTTCTTCATCTTTTTCTTTTATTTTTAACAGTAAATGATGCAGAGGAAATCATTTTTTTTGCTGACAAGATAGAGATGGAATTGACTTCCTGGGTCTGTTCCCCATTCTAGGCACAGATTAGGGAAACCTGAGAGATGTTGTCTTGCTGTCAGCTATACCACAGTCCTTCCTATATTTATGAGGAAAGCAGTAGACTTTAGAGAGGGTATAGCTGACAGTCTTCAGTATGGTTTCATTTTCAGTGATGTAAAATACTTTACACTCTCCCCACCCCAAGTGTATTGATTCTTCTGTCCTACAGTCAGATGTGAGAGTTATGGCAATCAAAAGCTCCCCCACTAGGCTGACACGTTCTAGCCGACTAGCCAAGACCTAGAAATTCTCTCTCAGCACTCTCTGGATCATGGCCATTGGACTGACTGCTTGTCTCTTCTCCTGCTCTAGTTCCTTCAGGAGAATGAAGTTTTTTATTTGGTGATCTGTTCATAGCCGGTTGAGTTGTGTTAGAACTGAAGAAGATACTGGTGGAATTACAGCATTGCTATTCCTATCTTGTGGAAATTGCCATAGAGATCAAGAAATGCAACGTCATTTGAAAATTATAAACTGACCATCAGCTGTCAGTTCAATTTCCAGTTAGATTTTTGCCAGACACAAGCAGAACAGGTTCATCTAGAATTCTTTGATCAGCAGTGGGAAAATATCATAGCATACAACCTGTCTTGTTATGAATTCTGTTTTGTGTATATTTTGACCAAGAAACATTGAAGCTTTGTGAAAGCCACCTTAATGGCATCCTCACCATTCAGTCCCTATGGGCTGCAAGGTAACAAGAACACTTCAGGGAGCGTGTCCTTGTAGAAACAAGGAAAGAATTTTCTTTTGTACTCTTTGGAGGATTGGGTTTTCCATGGAAGTTCTTAAGAAAGTAGTGCTTCTCAATGCCATTAAAATAAGCTAAATGTTACTTTATTACAAGCTCAGGTACCCCCAAATCCCTGTTACTCAGTAAAAGGAAGATAAAAGGAGCTAATATTTTCTACCAGAGTAACCAAGATTTGCCTGTTTGCTGTTTCATATTATCAGAAATATCCTCTAGCAGCTTTCATTTCAGCGTTCCACACTTTAAGAAAGGAAACATCAAGGGGGTGGAGAAGCTTATCTTGAGGAAAACTACATTTGAACAAGTCATTTGATTCATACATCAATGTTAAATTATTACTTAGATTTTCAAAGCAGAAAAGGGATTTTTATTGGCATGCTATATTTTTTCTTTTTTTCATGACATATTGCTAACAATGAAAGCCTATTACTAGTAGTTGTGCAATACATAAAGGAAAGATTTTGGCGTCTGTTGTGTTGAACAATTGTGAGATCTATTATTACTGTTTGTCATTGCATATATGGGAAGCTTCTGAATAAGAAAAAGCAAATGATTTGCAGCTACTGGTAGAGTTTACATTTCATCATTTTAGTTGGCCGGAAAGAGCCTATGGGAACATCTGCAGCACCCAACCGAAAGAAAAAAGAGTTCAGAGAATTTGAACACCAACCAGCATATGAGCTATCTGAACACCAGCCAGCCCAGAAGCCAGTATCTGAAAGCCCTTTAACTTTTCCACCCACAAGTAAGCGATAGTTCACAAAATATTTCTTATACCGCACTATATTATGACTACCTTCTATGCATGTTTATAAGGACTTACCTCAGGTCAAAGAGTGGGGTTTTTTTGGTTTATTAATTAAACAATGATCAGCATATAACCACTGAAAAATTTCACTATACTATTTTCCAAGTATCTAGCCACCTAATCTCTTTGTCTGTCTTTTCTTCCTCTTATTAACTATTCCGTGGCCTAAATTAATAGGCTAATATCATACAGAGCCCTAGCCAAAGCCCACTGAAGAGGATGGAATATTTCCCATTTATGCCATCCAGTTTTGTGTTGGATCCTTTTTAGCTGCTTTTTCATTCACTGAGGAAAGAGTAAGATTTTCCAGTACCGCATGCTAGCGTCATATCTATATTTAGGCAGGTAGGAATTGTTAAATGCTGTTCTAGTCATGGCTCTGAAGTGATCATGTACCAGCTGTGTTTTACTAGAGTGAAAAAAACACTTTCCTTGAGCTACAGAAGTTACATAAATGGTCTAAGGCAATGATTTCCCCATCTCAAAATTTACCAGGAATATTCAACATCCTAGTAACTAGAGAAGCTGTGACTAAGGAGCTAAATGATACAGTCAGGCAGTGATACAACTGTTAAGGAGCGGGGATGATCAAGGTTGCTTCCTGGTCCTCGTTTATTTTGATGTACTCAAGGACAGTGTATCTGCACAGCGTATCATCATCAAAACCAGATGGGGTAAATATAAACTACAGAGCTCTGCACAGCATATTGAACCACATCCACATGGCAGAAAAATGTTTGCCCCCTTGAGTGTGCTTTAAAGGCAAGATTATGTGGGATTTTCGCTATGGGAGAACATGCTTAGTCACCTAGAGCTAGTCCCAAAGGTATTCATACCATCAAATGATTTGAGTGGGTTGCTAATTTGTTTTTGGCCTGTTGTTCAGAGTACTATTTTGAAGTGTACATGTAACCTTTGAGCCAATGTGAACCAGAGGATAACCAAACCAAGCTGAACCAAAATATCCTGCCTGAATTATTGTTTCTAAATACTGCTAATTGTTTCTGGCAATGTTTCCATACTTAGCTCAGAACACCCACTTTCACTTTCTAATCTATGAGACTTTATGTTGAACTATTTTGTCACAAAGCCTTCCCAAAGTGTTGTGGGCTGTCAGCAAGTAGTGTGATGTGCTGAATTTAAAAACCACAGTAATGACATACAAACCATCAAACCTGTTTTTAAAGAAGCAGAATGTTTTTAGGTTCAGATACAAAGGATCCTTTTACAGGTGCATAATCTACCATAAAATTGGTTAGGTAAAGTGTATAGCACTTTGTTAGAAGTATTTGTGACATTCATAAATGTAGATTCTGCTTATGCAAAATGAATAAACATATCAAAGTTATTCTGCCTTTCAGAGAAAATGCTCATATTTAGTCAGATGTTTTCCCTCAGAAATACTTTAAAATCTAACCGACCATTGACATTTGGGGCTGAGCCTCAATTTTTTAATCCGTACTGATTAAATATTCATCCGCTTTTTTTCACTCTCGGAGTTAGTGTTCAGAAAAGGACGATGTTTGTATTTAGTATGCAATCTAGCTGTATACTTAACATCCAAACATAAAACGGATTAACCCTTAGGCTGTCCAGGACATTTTTTCTATGCTTGAATCTGCTGACTGGTCTCTGCTTTTCTGGTTGTTGCTTTCACAAATAATATTCGCTTTAGGATTAGTTAAACAGAAGACTGTGCTACAGCAGTAGGGGCTTCACATGCTGCAGTGTGAATTCTCTATTCTTCAAGACACTGCTTTCACCCTACAAGGATGGCGATAGGTCCCAGCCTCTAATTAACGACTCACAAGATGGATGATTAGAGTGGCTATCAGAGACCAATTCAACTAAAATACATGTAAAACACCACATTACAGACTCAAGGCTGGTCATTTGTGCTGGCCAAAGCAGAAAGAGAAGAATTTGTATACACTTATAGGAGCACATAAAAGTTAAGGATAAAGGACACAAAACAGAAGGCACCAAAGGTTCAAATCAATAATTGTGTTTATTTTTTAAAAACCTTTTTATCTTATTCATTTATGAGATGCAAAAGCAAGCCAAAATCAACAGCTCTACTGACAATATAGACTAGTGCCATACATACATCAACAGTAAGCATGCAGGAATATTATGTGATTTCGTGGGTGACTTGGTATTGGGGATTTCCTCTTTGCTTGTCCCTGTTTTTCTGAAAGCATATTTAAAATTCATTGGTGAAAACATGCCTGCATGTGCTAGTAAAATTGAGGGGAAAGCTCCCATCAGCTTCAATGAGACGCTGCAGCCTGTAACACTGAGAACAACTTTGTCGTTCAGTATTAACAAATTGTCTCTGAGGAGCAATTTCTATACCCTGCATGCTCCTTTCCTGTCTGGAATATTGTTAGTTGCTATTAATTTTTAACATATTTTATTTGCAGATTAAAATAATATAGAAATAGTATCTGTTCTGTTTTCCATTTGATTTCAGGTAACCACAATGCAGAAGTTAATTTTTTGTTTATTTTTAGTATGTGGATTTTTTTTCTTTCAAAATAACTTACTCTCAATTATGATGAAAAATACAATAAACCCAGCAATTCTTACAACATTCTTCCTATTTCTAAATTGCCATAACCATTCCAAAGTTATACTACTACAGTTAAAAATACTACTGCACAAGTCATACTACTAAAGTTCTGAGTTTCTTAAAGAATAATTAACCAAATTTTAGAGTGTTTACCAAGGCAGAAATTCACCCTGATTTCAGAATTTAGTCCTTATTTATTGTAAACCTTTTTACTGTATCATATTCCATTGCAATTCCTTGTGAAGTTTCTTGTGAAATTTCGTATAGGTTAGGATTTCAGGGCTATTGGAACCTAATTCAGGTTCAGTGGTTTACTTTGATTTCAAAGTATGATTTAGCCTAGTGTAGAAGAACCTTTTCACATAGCTAGTCCAGCCAGCTATATACTTTCATACTTCTTTTTTTTAAAGTAAAATGACTTAAACAAAAGCCTTTATCCAATATAATCAAAGCAATATTTGAGGAAATTAAAAGGGAAGATCAGGACCATGCTTCAGTACTGAATCAATCAATCATCTTCATTTATCCAATTTGCTTCACTGATGTTTCAGCAGAATGCGGAATTTGTTGCTCATATAAGTCCCAAGGATTCAAAACTGTCTTTCGCTTTGTCCCCACACTTTTATTTTAATGCTAGCAAAATTGTGTAGTCAGATAATTCTTGCAAAATTCTATCATACACGTTGCTTTATTTTGTTTAGTATTTAATGAAGCAAATTAAAAAGCGGAGGGCTCTGACAGGAAGATATCTAGTGCATCTGGAAGCTGCATGCTGATCCTTTTGGGAATTCTTGAACAAATCAGAATCATTGGCTTTTATGAATTCTATGATATCCTAAGTGAACTCCATTATAGCATTTGGAGCCTCTGGTCTCCAAGTGTGGTTTATAGAAAGCAATTAATGGGTGAGGAATGAGCGAGGAGAAACAAAAGAAAATTTATCTGCAGTGCAGATTATATTTATTATAGTTAGCATATTAAAAAGTCTCCTTGCAGCTAGATTAAAAGGCTTTGTGAGGAGATCTTTAGGAACCTCTGCAGTAGACAGTATGTTAGACAATGTATTTGTTCATCTTTTCAAACTTAGTGCTTAGATTATAAGTTTTTGGAGGCAAGGGCTCCCTCTTCCTAGATGCATGGAGAGGACTTCATGGTCAGTGACAGTACTACTGAAAAACAATGTTCCATAGATCTGATATTTGTAAACTCCATTTGGTTTAAAATATACAAAATTACTCTCCCTCATGCCGAGAGAGCCTATTTTTTAATACTTCATGTTCAGGGGAGTCATTTGAGATCTCCATCTATATTTTTTTTTCTCAAAAGTAGATAAAAGATCAATAGATCCTATTCTGAGGTGAAATATATGTTTTCAAAAATTGTGTTTGCTCAGCCCTTTAAGTTGTGAAATTTATCTATAAAGTTTGCTGTACTGCTATTATCTCATTCATTCAGAAACTCCTTTAGCCCAAATATTGGCACCGAATGCTTGCATGTCGATGGGCTAGGATATATGGTGATCTTCTTCTGGATATTTTACAATATTTAGTTAATATTTAGTTTGAATAAAATTAATTTCCTGAATCACTTTTTCATTTGAAATTAAAATTGTCTGTGTTCTCCAACCAGTGATTCTGCTAAGTAACCTCCCAATACAAGGCATTTGAGGAGTGTTTATAGGTAATTCTACTGATTTTAAAATGTTAGGGTAAGGAAGCAGACGTATTGGTTTCATGGCCATGGTTCTGCATACTGGCATCCTTATTCTAAACCGGAAAGAGTAGTGTGATGATAGTGAGTGTATGTGAGAGATACTTGTTCTTTTCCAGTTGAATCTTGTAGCTCAACTAATCAGAACATTTTGGTCTAGACAAGAAACATAAATCAGTCTTTTTTGACTACCTCTTTTGCCATAAAAAAAATACAATCTCCTCTGTTATGCTCTCCTTATGTGCTGACGTTACAACAGTGACTGGCAGTTTCATGTCGATTTTGATCTTCCACTAATGTTCTTTATTTCACAGAGGAAATGAGAAATCCCCAAGGTGTTGAGTGTCCCCTTCCTTCAGATGATGAATGGAAAGTGTCAGTGCTGAAAGGAAATTCAGGAACTCAAGTAAATGTCACTCTCTGGATATATGGAGACAGAGGAATAGCTGGACCAATAACTCTTGTCAAGGACAACAGAGAGCAGCTGTTTCTTCCCAGGCAGGAGGATGAATTCCAGGTAGCTAATGAAGGCTAAGAACATTATTCTACTGTGTACCTTTCCAAAGATTATTCCGTCATGTGAAAGGAAAAAATGTTTTTCTCCTATGTTTACTGCGTAAAATAAATCTCTGTCTAATCTCTATGAATACTGCATTAAATCAGCTTGGTGCATATAGTTAGCAACAGAGGAAATGCTCTTTTTTTCTTTTTTTTTACCCTTCTCTCCCTTACGTAGTAGCCAAAATGGGAGAACTGCAGAAGTAAATTGCTTTCTTTAAGGCAATTGACTTCAACTAGCTTTAGAAACTATCCACTCCTAAACAAATTATACCTAATGAAAGGCTTATAGATCGTTTAGGGATCTTTACTAATGAAATGTTCTTGCATACAGTTTTCAAAGCATACTATAAGATGGATACTGTGGAACTCATTCAGTTATGAAAGATACAACCTGGCCATTTTTCAGCCACCATACTGTAAATAGCTGGAATACCAGAAGCTTTACTCGCAGGATTGCTAAGAGTACAATAACCTGTGTGTTATCATATCTTGAAAACAGAGAGTTCTGAAATTATTTAAAAATATCCCAACCCTGTTGTAAATAAAATGATGTTTAGATAGGCTGAGAGGAAATTACCGAGATGCTAAAATTTCTGTTTTGCTCAAAGCTTTGTTTAAGATGCATGTACTGTGGTGTTGTCTTGAGATAATTCAAGTAGAAGTGATACTTTTCACATTTTGAGCTGAATTTTTTTCTGCACTTACTCCACTAATGCAATCTTGGTGCAAACCAAGATCATTCTAGTCAATAATAACAACAATACATCGTATGAATACGGCATAGGTAGGAAGATAATCAGCTGTAATGTTCGTTCTTAAGCATGTATACCCTATGATTTCATCCACTGGGAATCTAGTTCTCCCAATTGGTGAATAAATCATAAGCAGTGTTGGATAATGGCATGTTTGCAATGTTAATCCGTACATTCTTGAAGATATGGACCAATTTCTCTTCTCTAACATAGCTATTGCCATTAGAGCTGTGCACTCTGGATACTGATCTTATGAGAGAGCAGAATCTTTCCATCACTACCTGGGGCTACCACTATGATGCTTAACATCGCACCAGTGGTCTATTGCTTTCAGGCATGAAATAACAAATGTCACCAAAATGCTTTTCATTCTTTAGTCTGCAGTACATAAAACCACAAAGAAAAAAGTCTATGAGTAAGAGCTCTTTTTTCTTTTTTTCTCTTTCAACTTTATCCTGTACTTGTTTAGCAGGATACGTGTGCTGAAATGAGTACAGGAATGCAAAACTTAAAATCACAGCTACTTTTTACCACTTACATCCTTAAGCTGATACATTTTCACTGATGTTTTCTAGAGTAGAAGATATCAAATTTTATTTTTTAAAGTAATCAACTTTACTATAGCTTTGCCTGAGTCCTAGAGGAGAAAAAAACAGCTTAAGAAAGCTTGTAGTAGCCCAGGCAATTTTGAGTTTAAGCTTTCACTTTCCCAGCGGAAGGCACAACTATGAAAAATTTGAGTAGAATTGTCTTGAGAAATGAAAAGCATTCATATATGGCCTTTTCTGTCTTACTTTACTCACGTAAGTGCTTATTGCCTTGTCCTTTACTCCTTTCTAAGACTGTGCACACGACAAAAGTTTCTAAAACAGACCTGACTTGTATGTCTTTGGAAACACTTAGTTGTACTCATGCCTCCTAACTGTACCGAAAGGATTCTTCCCTTGGCCAGATAAGGGAGATCTCTGCTTGTTTTGGGCAGAAGACATTCTTTGCATTCTGACAAAGTCCAGATTTTGTGTTGATCCCTGAAATGACCGTATAACCAAAAAAGCTAAGGAGAGATTCATTAGCATAAGCAGAAAACGTAACAGCAATGGATATTCAGTGAACAGCAGCACCGTGAATGAAAAGACGGTATGTCGTATTACTTGAGAAGTGGATTAGTATATTTGTAATATGCAGCAAATGACAACAGTAGAAGTTTTTTTCAGTCAACCTGCAAATATACCATTATGTTACTACCGCTTTAATCCAAAAGTCTCCTTGTTAGTTTTAATAAGAATACTCATAGAGAAAGATATTAAGCAGTATGAGCAAGGATATCCGAATCTGTCGCCACAGAACAAAAACTATTTTGTTAGACCAAGGGAAAGAACAACAAAATTAACAACCCCTTTTGTGTTGCAAGCCTGGATTTACTATTTATTTTGTTAATGAAATTCAGGTTGATATAGCATCTGTGCCAATATAAATACAGATGTGAATTCCACAGATTCTTCTCAAACAACTGTTGTGCACTACTTGGAATACATTAGGGTAATAATGAGTAAAAGTTGGATTTTTCTTTTAGAAATCTTTGTCTAGAGCATGGTAACACCATGGCTATCACATAAAATTGATTATACAAAAAGCACTAAGGGGGGGCTAAAAGTTGATGTAAGAACAGAGGAAGTTCTGACCTCTGAAGAGAGAAGATGGCTTTCTATTAATGACGCTAAAGAATATGTGGATAATATACCGGTAGATGTTTCTAAGAGAATGAAAATAAAATAAATTTTATACAATTTCAATAGCACGTTTGAACATAAGCCATGGAGTGGAATAGGCTATTATAAACGTTCAAGAAAATATAATTTGTATAATGTTGTATAGATTTCATGAATAAGAGCACATATAATATTTGAAAGTGCAGAGGAATGCAAACTGTAGACAGAAAGCTAAGACAGTATCAATGACTTTCTACCTCCTTTTGAGAGTTTGTTCTTTAAGGTCTCCAGAAGTTTTACATCCTTCATATGCTATGCTATACTAGGGTTTATGGTCATGTTGCTGTTTTACATTATTAAAAATTCATTACTTGTGGTTTAGTGGATTTATTTTTGTGTACCTTTTTTCTCTTGTGAATGGCTCTCATCAACTTTGTTTTTTTTTAATGTACAAACTTTGAAGAGTTTAAATAATTGCCAAATCATTTTTCCGTGAGCATCTTGATGTCATTATAGGTAAAATCTTTTAAAACTGTGACTCAGACAGAAATCTATTTGAATTCAAGCAGTCTCTTCACTGGACTATATAGTCCAAAATCTGCCAATCAGATGTGGTACACTGTTCCTTTATACTCCGACGCTGTAATGGTTCGGAGAAGTCTGGAACCACTTGCAGCAGAAATAAGCATACAATTTTATGCGTCTTTTTTCATATGTGATGTAACTATATTTTTTTTTCTAGCAATATGGCCCAAATTGAATGAATGTCAAAATGTAGAAACACAGAACAAATGGGTTCTGTGCATACATGTGAACTGGACTTTTGAATTCTTTCAGAGGTAGTGATTGAATATTGAATTGAAATGTTTGAAAGGAAATGTTTATGATTTATTGCAAGGTATTATGAAGGCTTTGACAGTTTTAGGCATAGAATATACAGGCTTGTGCTTGCCATTAAGATGCTTCTTCAAAGTATGTGGGAGACCAGAATGTCTTTTTCTCATTAATAGGATACAGTGTTAGTTTGCAACACATGGCCTTCCTTAATCAGCCCGAAACCTCTACCTTGCAAGCTTAAAGTTATATATTTTTTGTCTGTACTTATATATTGTATTGTTCTGTTTTTAATTCAGATTAAAATAAAGAGCATTGGGAATATCTACAAGATAAGAATTGAACATGAGGGAGCAAGTGAACAATCAGAGTGGAACTTACAAAGGGTGAGATTTTTATGAGGAATTCTTTTCTGCTTTATTAATTTATATATGAACTAACAGCCTGTCTTTTCATGAAGCTATAACTCGGAGAAATGGAAAGGATAATCAAAAAAACATCGATTGTGAGATATTCTTAACATTTTCTCATCTCAGGTTGCTTTAAAGGTGACAAAAGCGCTGATACAAAATCAGTCCCCTGGAAGCTGAAAGTTATATCAATTTTTGCAACTATTCCTAACTCATATAGTTTGTAGATGCCAGTTTTAGTGCATTGATGGGTTCTGCCAAGGTTTGCTTTTTAAAAGCTTGTCTGTGCTCTTCAGCGTCTGTTAGGGAGACTCTAACTATAGATTCTGACTGCGAAAAATTAAAAAGGATGGAGCAACAATTTTTCTCTGACAACTACATGTGAAGAATATATGAAGTCTGGTCATGAATGGGCTGGTTATAGATAGCCCAAGCACATCTCACAATTATTACCATTTTCTGGGGAAAAGAAACTGCTGAACTATTCAGTGAATTAATTTTTATTTTCTGCTTTATTTGAGCTTTATTTTTCTCGTGATATTTAAGCATGCTTGGTAGATTAAATTAATGCTAACACACACCCCCATGTAATATTTTGTTCAGAAATGCTTATAAGAAATTGTGATTTATTTCTTACCTTGAATCTGCAAAACACACATACTTATCCTTTGGTTTGTCATTCATCTTATAAAGCCTGATTTAGACAACCACAATTACACAGTGATAACAGGTTTTGACATTAACCCAAGGGCCTTAACGGTAAAGATATCAAAATGGACTGGAAGTTTAAACATTTCAGTTCTCTCAAAGGTTGCGGGAATACTGTTTTCCATTCTGTTGATTTCAGAACATTTCTTTAACATCTTGGTCCAAATTTCATCATGCAACTCTGGGATTTCAAAGATTTCCGTTCATATGAAGGAATAAATTAGCTTAAGAGCTGTGTTTTCTGACAAAGCACTTAATAATTTGCTATTGTTATGAATCAGCAGGGGGAGCTCTGCCAGTAAACACTCAAAGTTGAAGTCTTGAATGTTCAATTAGAGATTAAGAATCACTGCTGCAGAAGTGTTTCACGTTTGAATAAATACATGCTTTTGTGGTGGAAGAAGTGTTTGTTCATTTTATTGAAAATAATATTTTATTGGAAAAGTGAGATGAAGTCATATATTGTCCTGATTTCCTAAGTGTTAGAATTTAAGTGCAAATACTTGTTTTCATCATTTCGATCACAAAGCTTAGGCATGCTGCACAGACATTCAAAACAGAAGTGCAAAGAGATAAGATTTTGGCACTGACTTCATTTTGCTACTGAAAGCCTATGAAAAAGCTGTAGTAAGCACTGTTATAATACAAGATCAATAATAACCGCTCTCTAAAAAGGGGAGCAGGACTGTTTCTCTGATAATAGGAAAGACAGCTATCATAAAGTACAATACCAGTTAGCGACAGAATTTGGATACTGACTGTCTTCAGACGAAGCTATAGAAGGTGCTGGCACCTATGTTTTCTTTCGTTCTGCTGCAGGAGAACCAAATGCAATATGAATTGATTTCATATTTCAACATATCATCTCCCTGCAAAAGTTCAGATTTAGTTGAGGAGTTTCCTCCTGTTTTCGTTTTAACATAAAAATGTATCAACATTTCTGCTGCATCTGAAAAGTCAGTTTCACCTGAATTCGCTTACCAGAAAGTTTTCCGTCTTCAGTACTCCAGATGGTGTTACAGAGAAGTAATCCATGGACAGAAATTAGAAGAGATGACGTTTGTTATGTCAGAAAGGCCACTTATAATTACAAGTTTGCTTGCTCTAAAAATAAGATAATTTTAAAGTCCATGGCATATTCAGAGAACATATTCCAGTATTCAACTGGAATACCACAAATGTGAACAAAGATCCTCTCCAGTGATAAGTCAAGTGGTAAAGTAGTAGCAAAAATAAAAATGTTTTCACACTGAAATTTTGTATTTCATAGTTACTGATCCTTTCATTAATTTCTGAGATAGAAAAAGGATGTAGAAAAATATTTATGGCTGTTGGGAGGCAAAAAACAGAAATAGTGAACTGAGTAATATTTAGAATTTTCTCTTCCCTAGGTGACACTACAACATCTGAAGAGCAAGAAAGTACTGAATTTTCCAGCAAACACATGGTTGTCAAAGACTCGTGATAACAGAGATCTTCCCTGTGAACTTCCAGTAGTGGAAGCTGGAAAACCTGTCTATCCAAGTAGGTCTGTCCTTTGCAGCTGCACAGTTACATATACACAGATTACCAGGTTTTCAGTGTCAGTGTCACCTGAATTATATTGCGTGTGTTGTATATTCATAAATGTGTTCTTAGCAGTTTTAAAACCAGACATTTAGACTGATTTTTAGAGAATATATTCCTGCAAATTCATTGCCAATCAAACTTAGCAGCATTGTTTCCATTAAGCTAGAACAGTTAGTAGGAATCAATTGTGATTGCACATAACTTTTATTTTCTTCCCTTGGTTATTCTTGGAAGTTATTTTATACCATGTTTATGTCTACACTGGCCACTTGGAGCAAGCTGATACAGATTCTGCAGTTTACCTGTGTATCTATGGAAAAAGAGGAGATACTGGTCTGAGACCTCTGCATAAATCTGGTATGCCAGTGAAATTTCAGAGAGGAATGGTAAGTCTGAAAGAAAAAATTGCTTAGTCATAGAAATATAAGTAAGCGGCTTTTACATGGTCTTAACAGGCTCCTAATAATAAATATTACAGAGGTATAGCACAGTACTTTTTAAGAACTAAGGAAAATTAGTTTCTACTGATTCAGAAATGACTGGTGACCAGAAAGAGGGAAAACCAAGGCAGAGAAAGGGGAAAAGGAGTGCTATGAAGAAGCACCCTAAGATGATAAGAAGAGGTACCTGTAAATATAAAAGCATTTTCTGTCAGGTGTGAGTTACAGCAGTTTAAAAATGAGCACACAGATTCCTACCATGACTTCAGCTCTTTGTAGGACTGTGTGTTATGTATGTCTTTTAATCCATAATAGTATAGTATTGTGATTAATGCAGGGCAGATTTAAAGTCATTTGTCTTTCATATACCTCAGATGTCCTGTATAAAATATAAAATATACACATATCTATATATAATCATCACATATCAAATGAAAATATAGAAATTATATGTCAATAAAACATACATCATCCAGATTTTCTGCAGTAATATATAGCTGAACTTCAGGAACTACTGAATTTAGACTTAGCTCCACCACTAGCCTTCTTAGTGACCTGCAAATTCTGTTTCTTCATTTGTGAACTATGGAGAATTAACACTTGTATCTGACAAATAAATGCAAGATCTAACAAATTTGTCTAACAAAGAGTATCAAGCTGTTAGTGGAATGTTTACTAAATGAAAAGCAGTATATAAAATGCTAAGCATAGCAGTAACCCACTAGGAAACTTCAGAAGTATCTATCTATGCTCTTTTAGAATATATTTTTTATGCCATTACTAATGCCTTAGATATAAAGTAATATTCAAATTGAAATGCAGGACATAAGTGGAGTTGTGTGGGGGAGATTCTTCTAGACAGACCGATAATAAATTCAGTGATATATTTATACAGCAGCTAAAGGAGGTGTTTCAAAGCGCACTTTGTTTTCAAAATGGGTGAACAGGACTGTAGATTGTAGGGGGAGGCAAAGCAAGGTCTGGGATAAATCATATGATGACACAGGCAGTTGAATGCTGACTTCAGCAACCTGATTTAATGTCCACCACAGCTATTATACATGATATTGGGCAAGTCACGTATAATAACCTTCTCTAAGTGACCACTGCTTGTGTGCTTAGATTTTGCTGGGTAACCAGTTTAACTCTTCTGAGTTGTAACTCAGGTCATTTCAAAGGGAATTCTGTTCTGGACATGGTAAGCTCTTTGAAATGGTCAATATGCTGATGAATTAACCCCTACGTTTCTCAGCTGAGCACCCAGACTAGGTATCATCTTTGATAGCCTTGGCCATAATCTCTGTGTTTTAACTCTATAGGTAAAACGGCAAGGTATTACACAGATGGGCTTTGTGAAAAATAGATTTCAATGTTGCAAAAAACCTAGGTACTATCGAAGAAGTTCAAAAGTGGAAATCACTGGGGAAATCAGTTCTGTTTCACCAGACCGTTTGAGTGGTAGCCATAAATAATGTGTAAGGTCATAAAGATAATGAACATAAAAAGAAATATCGAAAAGGTTCAGTCCTGCCTTTGTACAACTTGAGGCACAGACCCTTCAGAAAGGATAGCTTGTGATCACGTATTACACAAGGGAGAACTGAAGTTCCACAGGCAGTCCTAAATCTACTGTTTGCTAAGGCTTGAAAACTTTGCAAACATAACTTTTTCAGTGTAGTTCTTTCTTTTATTTTCCTTCTTCTGGAAAGCATGATCCAGCCTGTTATGTTTAGAGAGAGAAAGCTATATGCTTTGTAGTGTAACAAAATGTTATCAGCCTGAACCTTTCACCTGATTAGCTTCATGCTTCTATTAAAATAATCTTTTTCAAGTGTAAGCACAAATCTAAATGGATAACAAGGACAAAAGAGCATGTCAGATTTCAGCCTCTTCAAGCAGAATAGGATGTAAACATGGGAGGTGAGACCACGAAGAGCAAAGGATAAGAGAGTCTCTATGTTAAATATACATTAATGTAGAAAATAATTGACTTAACTGGTTTCATCCAGAGCAGAATTATTGTAAATGGTAAGATATTGAAACAGTAGTCAAGAAATGTGTGCAGTATTTTGGAGAATTATTGACCAATTTATTGGGAATTATTACTTCATTCTGATTTTAGTTATATTTTCTCATTTAGTCCAATACGTAATCAAAAGACTTAGTTTTGGATCTAGCCCTTTTCATACTGTCCAGCAGTCATTAAAAACAATGACAATTTTTGGCCACTGTGAGAGTTAGATCAGGCTTTTATAATACTGCAGCTTCCAGACCTTCTTCATATTGACGAATTATGGACTGCTGTTTCGACTGCGTTCTAGGTCAATGCTTTTGAAGTGGGAGCTGTATCTCTTGGAAAACTGCAGAAGGTGCTGTTGCGCTGTGAGGCTAATACTAAGTCTCAGTATTGGTACTGTGATAAAGTCGTCGTCAGAGAAGCTGAGAAGACCTTGGAATATGTTTTCAGTTGTGAAAGGTAATATTTACAAGAATATTATTAAGTATGAGATGTAAAATATACAATAAATATATCCTTAGGATCTACCTCCTTCCAATAACAGCATTATACCAATAAATGTTCTAAATGTGACATTTCCAGGAAAAGATGTTTGGATTATTTTGCAGTTTAATAAAAACCACAAAATTTGTTGCTCCAGAATAAATTGCTTTGGTCAATGATTGTTATATGATCCGTATCAAAGGTTAAAATGCTTGTACTATGACATTGTGTTACTGTATTGCACAGTGTAACATTATGACATAAGGAGTGATGCTATAAGTGTGACTTACTTATTCAAGAGGAGAGGATAAAGCACACAAAATTGTGCTCTAAATTAAAATCTAATTCTAACACAACAGAATTGCAGCATCCAGCTTTTTTACGTTTAGAAAAACATTATGTTAATCCAATGCTTGGAGTTCCCAGTTCTGCAATCTGGCTCATGGGTATGTGCATCACTCCAGTGAAATGAAGGGAGTGTAGAGAAACGACGTGACCAGGTGGCAGGGCTCTAGAAAAAATGTGGGGTGCCTAGTTATTTTGTCTGGATTTTTATGAATTTGTTATGTTACCTTGAACAGTCTCTTGAAACTCCCTGCGTCACATCTTCAAAACAAGACTAAAGATGCTCATTCACCTTTATAAAATTCTCTAAAACTGAGATCTTTCCTTAATTAGTATGATGTATATGCATACTAGTAGTAAGACTGAGGATTTCTCAGTGTGGATTTGGATGCAGGCTAGTTGTTGCTGCCAGTTGTTATTGCTACCTTTTCAAAAAAATATATAGTTAGCTTCCTGACAGGAAGTTCTACAGCAAAATCAGGCCAGCTGCCTACCTCGAGCAAGAAAAATCAACTCCGTATCACATCTATCCTCCAGTGGGTAACAACAGCTTAGAAACAGTGCATGACTGGGTACTTCACTGTATTAATTTTGAGATAATTAATACAGTAGATGCTGATCAGCAGGTTTTTTTTATAAATTTTTGCATTGTAATCTTTTCTGAAAGGAAGCAGTGACACTGAAAGGGGGTTAAAATAGGTTGGGGAAGGTAAGTGAAGGGTAGCTTTCATAGTGGCCAAAATGTAAAGGTGAAACACTGTGCTCTGTTTCAAGGAGGGAAGAATTTTTATTCTTTAGAAAACTAATATATTCATCTTCAGCCTTATAACTTTATTTTTCATCAATATTTTCTGATCCAGTGCATGAACAAAATGCTATATTTTTTTCTTACTTAACCAAAGAATTATCAACATTTTATCTGACTTAATAAAAATCAGATATTAGTTTCTGAGAATCCAAATACTCTGACTAGATTTCAATTAAACTATATTTTTTTAGTTGTAGATATTTTTCAACATTTATGACTGCAGAATATATCCGCATAATAAGATTTTAGCAGAAGAGTGATATAAATGAGTTGTCTAGTAAGACAAAATTTATTTCTTAAGAACTATTTATGTTCCTGTTAGTGTTTTAAAGACAAAAAAAATACAGAACGTGCACAGATTTTGTCAATATTTATCTGATTTAAGTTGCACGTGCGTATGTATTGTCACTAATCTAGGATTCCTTATCATCTAAAGATTTACCTATAATATAGTAATGCACAGCACTAAGTTAGTGACTTTTACAGAAATTTCAATCTGCACAGTTCCTTCTTTGGAATAAAGAAGGGAGAGAATAAATAATAGGTAAAAGAAAGAACAACTGAAAAGCAATAAACTAAATGCTGTTCTCTTCTTTTTTGTCAGTAAAAGAAGTCTTTAGAAAATAGCCATAATTCCCTTTGTTCTTGTTTTAAAGATTCTTTTTCTTTTTCTTGGAAATGAAATTGGTAGAATATTTACCAAGGATTGTATTGACCTTGTTCCTGACGGTATCACTGCTAATCATTTCTGGTTATTTTCTGCATCTGTTCCTGTTGTGGCAGATGTCGCATCTTTCCTGTGTCAGGTTCATGCCACGCTTTAGTGTGAACTTGTCATGCGGTGGTGGAGAGAACGGCTGGGATCAGGCACCCAGAGACAGCATCCTGGCACTGTCTGGGGAAGACGCTTCAGAAAGTGAACACTTGTGCCTAAACTACATTGCAGTAGTCGTCTGAGAGGCACAGGCTGTTTTGCACCTGTGAGGTGTTTATACCACCTGATAAGCAGAGCCTGATATCTGAATATGGAGGGTAGAGTAAGGAGGCCTGAGCAGGAAAGATGGGCAAGTTATGTATGCCACTGCTGAATGTCATACGATATTTTGTCAAGGTTTAGGGAAACGCTGACCAATACTTTCGCACCTTTATATCCTCGTTATAGCCTGCCCATCTGATGTGCAGTGCGTGCAGTGAAAGAGGCTCTTGCAGCCCTGAGACTCGGGCTGCAGAGAGAACGCTGCTGCTGCTGCTGCTCTGCCGCAGGTTGGGAGCAGCTTCCCTTCCTCCTGGCCTCCATAGAACCCATCTTGCCCAGTTCATACTGGATTTCAAGCAGGCTTCGCAGGAGACTCTGAATGGCTTGGGTCATTCCTGGAGGCTCCATAGCAGTGGGCCCAGAAAATAAAAACCAACAGTCTAGAAGCTCGCTGAATAGTGTTTCTCTGTAGAAAACCAGCTTAGTTTTTTACCACAGAAGAAGAAACTAAATGAAGTTGTAATTCTGAATAATAAGATTTCAAAATTGTTCTTAGCCTAGAGTAGTTCTGTCAAGACAGGTAACCAAAATTTTCCTTCACGTATACTTTTTCATTCTCAGCACTCTGCCCTCAATTTGTAAGGGGAAAAAGGAAGGACAGAATTTGGTTCCATCTTTGTTTTTAACAATGAAATTTGAAGTTAAGAAATAGTGCAATAGATAAATACAAACTGCAAGTAGCACTCAATCCGTAGTATTGAAAAAAAAATTCTGTGCTAAGCTCTTCTGTTTTAGCTACACAAGTGAATATAGTAGTGACACACGAGTCCCTTAATCTGACATAGGTATATTTTATGCTTATGCAGCTCTTATATTTGTAGAAATAAAATATTTTTGTTGATTTTAAAATATTAATTTGTACTTTAACATTTGTCTAATCATATACTGAAGCTGTTAGAATTTCCTTGCTATTATGCATAGTCAATATGAAAATAAGTTGTGGATCATTAAGATATATGGTAATATGATGGAGAACAAATTAATTCCCGCCTGCTTTCTCATTTTCTTTCTTATTCTTAGGTGGCTTCCGTTTATGTCCCAAGGTGTAATTCATTCAGAAATTGAGCTGTACCCTCAAGGTAAGCATTATTGTTACAATATGGAAGTAAGATCAGTAAGGCATTTTTTTTTTATCTGAAGAAATCAGAGCTGAATTTACTCTTCAGTCATCTGAGTTAACCATTTTTCTGATTCCTTTGTTATATTTCTGGGAGAATATACTTTGCGTTTGCATTGTGTGAGTATGGGTTAGGGAGAAAGTAGTGAGGGAATGAATAAGGAAAGTTTTCTTGCATCAGCAGAAAGACATTAAGAGGACATGATGTGACACTAACTTTAATGTCTTTCCTCAAAACTTTTCTTTAATGTTAAAGGATAGGTCTTTTATTAATTATAGTTTTTTGTTTTGACAGAATTTCAAATAAATCAACAGCTGAAAACGCAAGAAGAAGTAAATGGTAAATGCTGCTATAGTTTTCTTTCTTTAATGAAGACTATTTCTCTTTCAGAACTAACTGCTGTACACATTTCTTGTCGTTTCTATTTATTTTAAAAAACACTAGTTACAGCACACTTTGAATATTTCAGTGAACTCTGAACTTCACATTTTAATTTAAACAATAAATCACTTTATTTAAACTTTCTTCTTATTCTGTCATTTTTCTTTCCAGTAACGTTAATTTTCTCTCTGTTTCTCTGAAAATTCATAGGTTTTCTCACAATTATTCGTTATCTATCTTAATTTCAATTTTGTAGTTAACAATTTACACCATGATTCTTTCTCCCAGGTGACATATATGTTAGTTCTCACCATTAGTTTTTCATTTTCCCCTTTCCCTGGGATTTCATATTTGTTTAGCTTGACTTTTCTGTCCTTGCAATCAGTGGAAATTAATTTACATGTCTTAGTAGCATATAACATTTTCTCAGCTATTAGGACTGCTTTATGCAGTATGTTGAGCAATAATTTAGAAACAGTCAGGAGAAAGTTTAAAAACCTTTATTCATAATCATATGAAGATATCCACTGAGACCCCAAACCCTTGTTTTAAATAGTGTCCCCGTAGGATGTTGTCAATTATAAACTTTGTATTCAATTATTTTACAAATTATATTCAAATCTCATTCTATTCTTGTAAAGTTTATTTTGAATGACAAGTAGTTTTGCCCTTGTTCCTTTCCATGCTTTTTCCAAAGACATTCATTTTCTATCTGTTCATCAGTCTTTGTGGCTCACTTTCACAAGGCCTGCACATAGAGATCCTCCTTTACATAGTTCAAATGAACCTAATTAGTTCTTCCTGCACTTACACAGCTGGAACTCTATGTTATGTCATTTCAGCTGTTCCTGTCTGAATATGCAATAAAAATTGCAGCAGACAAAAAATTACCCCCAAAACCTAACAAAGGATGACAAAGAGAGGGAATAGACTAAGTGTATGTCAGTGTTCAACTGACTTATCTTCAGTGGAGATCATCTAGGACTTGCAATGAACATTTTGATCACAGCACTCTCATCCTCACCCCAGGAGACAGAAATGTACTCATTCAGAAATATGTCAGAATTGTTCACAAAATCGAATCCTTTCCTGGCCGTAGAACTTTCTAGTGTTTTGTACTGTTTCTGATGTTCTAGAAATGTCTAGATTTCTAGAAAGTCATCTGAGGTAAGTTACCATTTTCTGCTATCCCTGGGGACATACACTGTGTTAGACTGCACCTTTCCTCCAGCTATACTACATGAAAATCACCTCATTACGCATTTTTCCCTGCTCTTTTCTCCTCAGCGTGTAGCCCTCTTTAGTCATTAAGGAAATATTGGTTTTCTACCTCACCAGAACAAATACTAGCTTTTTATGACAAAGAGAACAAGACTTACTGTCTGATAATACTTAGTGTTCCTCTTTCTGTTGGAAGTATGCAGGAATTCCATGAGAACTTCTGGCATTAAGGAGAAGATTTGAGATCCTTCTCTTATACCATGTTGTCCTTCAGATACAAAGCCCAGTCTGTTTTCAGAAGAAGAAAAAGCCCCAGAAGCAGTAGAGAGGAGTGCAAACCAAAATTCTTCTTATCATGTATTTGGGGAAGTTTGGCTCCTTCTTAGGCTTCAGAGTTGTATTTGCATGCAGAATAGTTGGCCTTTGAAGGCACAAAGCCTTTGAAGGCAGGAGCTGGGCTAGTTAGACCATAAGGTCTCAAGAGTACTATGTTGTTTTGAACCTGCATTTGTTAAAAGAAGAGAGACTTTGAGAAGATAACGGAATAGAAAGGCCATTCAAAGCACTTGAGGTACTACATATCAGACCATGTACAAGTCCAAGCAAAAGGCTGCTTTAAAATAAATATTTGTTTCCCAAAAAATTTTGAATTTTTCATTGGATTAGAGGAAGAGTATGCCTTATTTTTTCCTTTCTACCATTCTTCATAAGTGCTTATGCACTAAGCATTATTCTCCAGCCAAATGGTCCAATGTGAGTTAGCTTTAAAAGAAAATAATATTAAATAGTTGGAAAACAGAAGCTGATTTTTTTGGTAACTATGCTCTTCTGTGGGTCAGGGATTCCCCCCTTTCTTATCCACTTTGCTTCCACCTATCCTACCTGTTCCACCTATGGCTAGCCACCATTCTAACTGATGTTGATATTTTTGCAGCCTGGTACCATAACCATAGTTCCTTTGTCAAGAGAATGTGGCTATAGAGAAAGTCACGAGGTTAGAAATCTTTTAAAGCACAGAAGAGAAGAGAGTTAGTTACAAGCTGTAGTCTGTTAACTTTCAGTGGAAATCGAATCATTCACTTCCTTTATGTATATTTAAAAATCTTCTTCTATGACTTTCCAGAATCAAGGGTCAACCAGACCTCAAACATCTGGAAAAGAGGAGCTCAAACTTTCTGTACCACTACAGTCCTAGTGGGGCAAATAGCTAAGGGATACCAGGGCTGGCTCAAGATAAATACTTATATCAGACACCAGATTTAATTCATGTAGGCGTTACCAGACAGCTTTCTATTAATAAAACTGTAGTGTACACTGAGGCATTTATTTATAAGAAGACTGTGGGCTGGTAATTCATTTGATGTTTACTTTCCTCAGAATGAATTTAAGTCACTAAGTGGAACTTGTTACACATACAGGCAGAAGCCACAATTAAAAGAGTAGTGGAGTGCAGGCAGTCCCAGCTTTTCAGATGTAGAAATGCATCTTCTAGCTATGAATTGTTGTTTTTAAAAAGAGATTTATATTAAGCTGCTTTCAGCTATTTAAATAACTTATGTGCATTGCATGGGAACAGAGATGACATTTTATTATCAAGAAAGCTTTATATAAAATGATTTTCTGAAGATTCCTCTTTCACTGTCAGAATTTTTTCCAAGATCCTTTTTTTTAATGCTAATTCAGTGTCATGCCTCCATCTAAGCAAACAGAACTCTCGTTGACACCACCCAATAATATTAATGCCATGTTAAAAATGTAAAATGAGGTGAAATTTTACTCAATTGGGATGTTTTGATTTTTGATTTTTTTTTTGATTTTTTGAGTTTTTCCTGTTCCACTTCTGGTTTACATTTGTAAATAGTCCAAAGTCTGGAGGATGGGCTTGTTTTATGATGACTCACAGGGATGTTGCTAGAAATGTCACCAGGGCCTGTGCTCATTTTCTCACTTTACAGATTTAGGAAGTTGGCCGGATACTAAAGTCATACTTTGTCTAAGATGGATTTGAAAGATGCAGTATTTAGCCAGTCTTCTGTGGCCTCTGCCAGCACTGTTACTTTTTGAGTGCACAGCAGTTGCAGCTTCTGGGCTAAGCTAAGCTTTTAGTTATATTATCCAAGTAACTTTCTGAGTATCAACTGCAATCATAAAAGCATTTTGTTTTTATTTTTAATTTTCAGAAGGAGATTGGAAGATTACTGTAGTCACCGGGGATTTTGAAACAGCTGGCACAACAGCAACAGTGTCCCTTTATGCTTATGGAGAAAACAAAGCTTCTGGTCCTATTATTTTGGGATCTGGGAAACACCAGCTGTTTAATCCCAACAGTGCCGATACATTTAAGGTACAGTATGCCTGTTATAAACACCTGAGAATTCCAGACGTAGGCAAAATAGCTTTTCTCAAAGGTGGATAATAGTAATAATAAACAGGACCCAAAGCAATATGAATATAGAAGAATTTGGATTTTCTTTTACTTCATGAAGCATTTCTGAAGGAGTGGTGGAATTTTATGATAATGAAATTTGAATTAGCAAGTGTATTCAGAATTGCATCATGCAGACATATCTCTCAGAATCTGCCTTGTACAGCTGATGTTCTAGAAAAAACTTTTTTTGCCTGTTCTTCGTGTTGATGCTAATTAGATAGTCCTAGCTAGGATTGCAGTCCAGCTAGGATGCTGGATTGCATATGCATTTTCATAAGTGTCTGTTCCCCACTGTATATTCTTCCATGGGCTTCCTGTGGTTTTCCCTGAAGCACACTGCCCTGCAAACCTTTTCTTGGAGCAGATAAGAAGGAAAGGGGAATGGATAGAGGCTAGAGTCAATTCACACCTTATTGGCTAACTCAAACGATATAGAGGTAGTGAAGTGCTACTTCTCCAAGGAAATAATGAGGGACTGTTACCCGAGAGGTGCTTCAGAACACAACAATTCCCAGGACTTCTCCAAGCACCCATTGTTCTTGCAAGTTCCTTCAGTTCCTATGGCTCCTCAGGATTATACCCGTTGGAATCATTGAAGCTATAGTATGTCATTTAGGTTGAAATAATTCATGTATAATAAACAGATGATGGAAAGTAACTGGCAGATGTGACAGAGGAAGTTTCTTTGCATTATTTTATTTTTATTTTCCAGTTCGAAGCATAAACTTAGCTAATGAAAATTTTTGCAGAGGCAAATCAGTTGGTTGCCTTTCCCTTACGCTTACTTAAATTGGAAGTAACTTGGCTAAAGTTTGCAGATAATGCTAATTTAAATTTATCTCTCATCAGAATAGGAAGGTGAAGTCCATATTTATCCAAAGACTAAATTTAAGCTTTCCTTTTCAAATCATTGCAGCTAGAGGAACAGGATCATTTAAAGTAGATCATCTTGGATATTTGTTCAGATCCCTTCTCAGCTGAGTAAAGATGATTAATACTATTTGATAGCAAATTCTTACCTGCTCATTCAGTTCATTGAGGGAAATACCTAGAACATTTCTTTTCTTTCTCTTTGTAAGGAACAGTATGTTCCTCAAAGTGTCATCTTGATGCCGCCTGCATCAAAGCAAGATCCGATACCTGGACGAGCAGCTCTGATGATCTGTTCCAATCCACAATAGCACCCAGGTTCAGGTCTTCTAAACTGTATCCAAGTCTGGACTTCAGCACGGCTTTTGACACTGTCTCCCATCGCATCCTCATAGGTAAACTCAGGAAGTGTGGGCTAGACGAGTGGACGGTGAGGTGGATTGAGAACTGGCTGAATGGCAGAGCTCAGAGGGTTGTGGTCAGTGGCGCAGTCTACCTGGAGGCCTGTAGCTAGCGGTGTCCGCCAGGGGTCAGTCCTGGGTCCGGTCTTGTTTCAATGTACTCATCAATGACCTGGAGGAAGGCACAGAGTGCACCCTCAGCAAGTTTGCTGATGACACTAAACTGGAGGGAGTGGCTGACACACCAGAAGGCTGTGCTGCCCTTCAGAGGGACCTGGAGAGGCTGGAGAGATGCGCAGAGAGGAACCTCCTGAAATTCAACAAAGGCAAGTGCAGGCTCCTGCACCTCGGCAGGAATAACCCCATGCAGCAGTACAGGCTGGGGGTTGACCTGCTGGAAAGTAGCTCTGCAGAGAAGGACCTGGGAGTGCTGGTGGACAACAAGTTAAGCATGAGGCAGCAGTGTGCCCTTGTGGCCAAGAAGGCCAATGGTCTCCTGGGGTGCATGAGGCAGAGTGTTGCCAGCAGGACGAGGGAGGTGATCCTGCCCCTCTCCTCAGCCTTGGTGAGGCCTCACCTGGAGTACTGTGTCCAGTGCTGGGCTCCCCAGTACAAGAGAGACATGG